TGATGAAGTAGAAGAATTTGATAATAGTTTTAGAGAGATCAAACCGTGATCAGAAGTACCTAAGGGTGAATGTGGAGAAATTGAGCACTGACTAGGATCCAAAACAAGACATAAGTCGAGTAGAGAAGGTAAATGATTAGGGTTGTCTGGAAAACGAGTTGGAAAGTTGACTATTTGAGTTAGAGATTGAGAAAGGCAAAAGTTGAGGGCCTTAACGCCAGCAGAGTCACTGACACTAGAGCCAAGCCAATCGGTGTGATGGGCATTAAAGTCACCAACAACGACGATATTGGCCGATGGATAAAGAGAGAGGGCTTGGTCAATTTGATCAGAAATAACATCAAGAATAGTGCAGTCTTGGGATGAAGGAGAGCGATATAGAACAAAGAGAAAGGCGATAGAGTGAAGTTGTGCTAAACGAAAGCACATAAATGAATAGTCTGTAGATTCAAACCTAGTTTCACGACAAATGGGTGAGTTCTTACGAATGTAGATGCCCAGGCCAAGCATGTGATTATTGGAGTCTTTACGAATTAAAGGAAGATAACCATCAACACTAAGATCACAAGATGGGACAGCCGAACTCAAATTAGTCTCACAAAGAGCAAGTAGGTCTGGTGAACTTTGCAAGAGATAAGACTCAACAGAAGAAAAGTTACTTCGAAGACCACGAATATTAGTAAATGATAGGTTTAGAGAACTTGGTGATGACAATGGTTTTTTGCGTTTTTTAGTTTTAGGTACTTTAGTCATTTTAAATTTATAAAGAACTTGACTCAAGTATAGATAGTACTCAGTACACTATTTAACAACTAAGCAATAGCCTCATTACTATTAATAAACCCTAAGCCGTAACAAAGGGCTCCAAATGTGGCCTCTGCAATGCACACCAAAAGTACAAACAGGGACACCATCCATGCGCAACATGGCACTGTTAGTACTCTGATATTTTTCGGCTGTTGATGGAATCAGCCTCTCTGAGAGCTACCACAGAGTTCGGGAAACCTGACTACCAGCCGGCCTCAGAACCATAAAACTGAGTTTTAGAGCTGTACCCTCATTAGGAGATAATAGAATGAGTTGCCCAGTCATAAAAACAGAGACACAAGCAATACCCACGCATTGAGTCAAGAAGATCCAGCGTTCAACATCCTAAACTGGAAACAATGTATTAAAAATACATCTGCGCCAGCCTAATAGATGAGGAAGGGGTGCGAGGCTGGTCAACAGATAGAATCTGTTTACCCCTTAAGTCTTTGCCTAGGAGGCCTTCTACAAGACAGCAGCTGGATGCATGTAACATCTGCCCAAGATGAGTATTTTTATCGAGACACCATCTCTAGCCTTTACTCAACCAAGAGCCCCAAGGCAGGGGGTGTTTTAATTCGGAGTTAACTTCTCCTAGCCTTTGCCTAAAAAAGCGTATCCTACAAGGCAGCAGGACATGGGGCAGGTTGTACTGGGTTACATGTTACCAGTAGCAGGAAAACCTGACCTGACCTAAGGAAAACCTGACCTGACCTAAAGTTGTATTAATAACACTTGTCATTGGTATGACAAGTGTTATTAATATTGATAACTATTTTCTTTAAAGGAAAAAGTTATGTAATAATTATTTCCTTGACTTTAATTTTTTGTATTTAATAATATTTGTAGGTATGTTAATGGATTGTTATCCAATATAAATTCAGGTTAAATTTTGTAAAAAGGGTAGTTTGATTTAGTGAAGTAAGATTTAGTGAATTGCCACAGTGCCAAATCAAGCAAAGATTCACTATGAAAATTAGAGACAAACATTAATATCAAGGGTTCTCGATTACCACAAGGACTCTTCAAATCGTGTAAAACAATTTTGTGCAGGAAATAAGAGGGGAAAAAAGCTATACTTTCTCCTTTGTATAATTTTAATTTAATACAAGTGAGACCTGAAACAAGAGGCTTAATGTATTATTGCCTAATCTGCCAATTTGTTTGTTCAAAGTTTTAATTTAATCGTTTTAATCAAAACAAACTTTCTGAACAAAGTTTTATATAAAGATAAAATGTTTATTTTTTGGTTTCAGGTAAAAGTATTGCCCAGCCAATATCTAGCGCTCCGAAATTGACCTAAATAGCTCTGGTAAATGTACAATTAAATACGGGACTACCAAATAACGGCTTAAAAAAACTGGTAAGAACTGTAAACCAAAAATCAAGCAGTAAGATGGTAGAGCCAAATTTTTATAAGAATTTCTTAAGAACAGGTCAACACTTTAGTGATTTCTTTACCTGTAATAATTTAAAAATTACCGACGGAAAAGGCGATTCTGGGTTAATACCACTTCATTCCGACTTCAAAGCAAAATTTTTGAATTTTTTGTACAAATTTATGCAACGTTCTTTGAGGTTTAGTATGAACATAAGGTTAATTCAATGTTTTGTACATACACATGCAATACCAAGAAATATTACTATCGGAGTCGGAGTCGCGATATTTTTTAGCGACTCCGACTCCGACTCCGCAACTCCGATTCCGCCTCTACAGCCCTGGTTAATACTACTGCAATGATTTATTAAGTCTTGTGAATCATGTTATTCAATCTTGCAAAATTTCTGGTGGAGATTTTGTTAAGCTCGAAATTAATGGTTTTCTTAAATTTTGTCTACGCATTGTTGATACTGCATTAAGGGTTGATACCAGTTCACTGCCACAAAAACAATCTCTCACTCAAAGAACTGGTTTAACTAGAAACTTACTCCAATAAGTGGAACGAATCTGGTTACTGATTAATGCAAATGAAGTAAAACTAATTTTGGCTGCAATATAAAAGTTGCAAATATAATTTGAGGTCTTAAAACCCATTCAAGTATGCACCTTTGTACATAGTGTGACGTCAAACCCAATTGTCTTGCTAAATCTGGAAACTTGCAAACTTTGGGCATGATCAAATCTACCCTCGAGCCTTTACAGAGAAACTTTTTACGTCACAATTCCAATTCGTCAAAACTTTTACAAACATTGGTCGAAAAAAAATATTCGTCCAGATTATAAAGAGTCAATGCATTTCAGAAGGTTTCAAGGGGCATAAAAAGTCTTTTAACAGAAACCTTTTTTCTTTTTCTTTTACCAAATGATAGTCCTTTTGCCAGGTTTTGCACTATTTTTAGCATTTATTTTTTTTGCATTTTGGCATAAACCAATTTAAATACATCTTATTGATTATATATTGATTTGCAAATAGCAAATCAATATATAATCAATAAGAGGTATTCTTGGGTCGACTATCTTGGCATTATCAGGATCCAGCCGTGTAATTTCAAATATTTTTATTTATTTATCGACAATAAAAACTAGGCTGTTTAAGTTTTCAAAAATTGTTGTTTAATGTTATTTCCTTCTTGTTAGCAACCTCGTAGCAACGCGTAAACAACTTTTAATTTTATATTTGCTTTTGCTATTGTTCTGTAAAATATTATATTTTTAAAAAACATGTTTTATGTTTTTCTTTTTTTTTAAAGTTATTAAACAATGCCTGTGTGTTATAACGAACGAAAAACAATAAAAACATTAAATAAAATTAGAAATTTAAAGACAAAAAAAAAATCAAAAAATAGGTATACAAAAAAATTAAATAAATAAAATAAAAGTAGAAATTAAGAGAGAGAGAAAAATCATAGAAATATATACACAAGAAAATCATCCGAAGAAAAAGTTCATCACAATCAGCAAGTGCATTAAAGCTTAAGTAAAAACATGACTTGAGCTCTTCTACAAATTATAATTCTAAACTTTAGCCTAAAGTTGACAATTTTTTCTTTTTTCCAATATTCCAGTATATAAAAGCATGTTAAGTCTGAATTAAGTCTTAACTTAAGATTATGTTCAACATGTAATAAGTGTAGTATACTACACTTATTACAGTTTAAACATTAGATAATAACACCATCAGGAAATCCCATACATACAGGCTCATTTTGAAAAATTGAAAATCTCATTAAAAAATAGTTTGCTACTGTAACAAACTATCAATTTTTCTAAATGAGTCTGTATGTATGGGATATCCTGGTGGAGTTATTATCAAATGTTCAAACTGACTTGAAAATAAGCTTCATTTATATTCATTTTATTTAAAATCCAGTGGTTCTGGTTTGAAACCACACAAGGCAAGTTTGCTGTTTATGAAAATAGTTTTGGTATAGATGCAATGTATACTTTCACTGCTATAATAAATTTCACTCTCTTTTACCTTCACCTCTTTCAAATCATAATTATGATCTTATAAAAAATAAACTACATATACAAGGAAGGATTCTAAGATTATGAAAGCTGCTGATCAGAACTAAAAACAGTTATCAATGCAAATATTACTTATGTAATTGTGGCTTATCAATAGATAGAATATGCCAATGCTTTGGGTACTCTTCTTAAATAGATTAGTTGCTAGTTTTTCACATGAAGTTAAAAAGTTTTGTAAGAAGTGAAGTAGATAAAAGAAAAAGATATCCTATTGCTCAAAATGCTAAGTTGTTATGACCATTATCAGAAAAGAAAAAAAAAAGAAAAAAGTTTTTGATTTATATCAGAATTTCAAAGATTTAATAGGAAGAGTTTTAAACAATTACAGAAAATTATCTGGAAAACAGAGATTAATCAGTAAGTCTATTAATACAATACAAAACTTTTTTAGAACAGCTATAAGTCAAAATAAAAATAACATATTTAAGTTTGAAAAATTATGAAATAGTTGAACTTCACCATCATAATTTACAGGAAAATTTTTTTTCCTGTTATAGAAGTTATAGAAGAAATTAAACTAATTAAGTATTTTAGATTCTTGTTTTTTTTTTATTTTTTTTTTATTTTTGCAATATTGACTTTTTGTATTACAATTTATAATAGCAACTAACATGCAAAAATAAAAATAAAATTTTCATACAAAACATAAACCTAAGTTTGGTTTTTGTGATTTTTAGTTTTAATAAAATCTTTTATCTTAATTTTAAGTGTGGTTTTTTTTTAGTATTATTGTATCAGCACCTCATTTCAATCGTAGTCATAAGGAAGGTGCAATATTTACTTGTAATCCAAATGAAAACAATACTTGTAATTATTGGAATTTGGATTCAGGCAATAAAGGTTGGTTTTGTGTATTTGATCATAAAATTATTTGATACAATAGTTGAATTTTAAATGTGAAACAAATATAATTAATATATTAATTAGTAAAACTTTTTTTTTAATTTTATTTTTATTAAGTAAAGAATGTGTTAAGACACTAACTATGTCATTACTAAAAAATACGTTAAAACATCCTAAGTTCAAAGTTTTATTTTATTCAAATGAAAAAATTAACTTTTTTTTGACATTTTTTTTATACTATGTACTACGATGTATAAACAGGTGCAATGGTTACCCAATCTATAGCACATAAAACAGTGCCACTTAGAAAAAATGTCTTATTACAAAAATAAACATAAATATATCATTAGTAAAAGTAGTATTTGGTCACATGTGCATTGGCTATCGATCCTCTATCCCCATTTTTAATTCAATTTTTTATTTATGTACTAGACATAAATGACTAACTTCTGAAAACAATTACAGTGGCAAGTTTTAGGGGGAAGGGGGGTAATGGTGTAGTAGACCCCCCTAGCCCTTCTCCCTTGGGATTTTTTTTCAGAAATATTGTTTTGTAAATTGACTATTATACTGAATTGGACTATAACACTGACAAATGAAATTGACTTTTATACGTAATTATATTATACGTATTACATATATGAACTTGATTATTAGACTTGAATTAAAAAGGAAAGTTATTTATAAATGAAAATATGCGGACCTTTTTTTTTTTTCAAAAGACCCTCTTTGGCGAAAGACAAAACCCGCCCCTGGACAAAACATATAAGAAATATGCTGACAGTATCTTAACTTACGTGTTTGGTAAAAACTCTCCTTTTTTATGAGAAATAGCATGTAATCTTTAACAATGGTTGGATGACAATAACAACTAATATAGCCGAATGCAGATATTTATATTGGTCAAGATGCCAAGCCAAAGGCGAAATTTTTGAAGTTACAAACTTATACCAATATCTTTGTGCCTCAATATAAACCTTTGTGCTTAAGTATAGACATTTGTGCTTCATCATAAACCTTTGTGCTTCAACATGAACCTTTGTGCTTCATCATAAACCTTTGTACTTCATCATAAACCTTTGTGCTTCATCATAAACCTTTGTGCTTCAACATAAACCTTTGTGCTTCAACATAAACCTTTGTGCTACAACATAAACCCTTTGATGAACAGTTGTCTAGTCTATATAACAAAATCTCTTCTAATAAATATATTTTTAACTATTTGGTGTATAGTTATTTTATTTTAATTTTATTCTGATTAACTTCCAATAAGGCAGCAAACAAACAGTATAAAGTTTGGAGTTACTAGAAAACAAAGTTTTGATAGAAGACTTGAAAAGTTGTAGATTGTATAAGTCAGGAAAAAATGAAGGTAGGAGAAAGTTCTAAAGGGTTGATGTGCAAAGAAAAAGTTTTAAGAGCATGCGCAGACAAATACAGTAAAAGGATGAGACTTTGCTAAATGAGAAGTCAAGCAAGAATGAGTTTTGGCATAGTATTTGTAAAAAAGAGAAAGAGATGCAACTTTATGACGATGGGAAAGAGGCTCAAGCTTGGCATAAAGTTTGGCATAAAACTTGTCCAACTGCATTTGCAATGAATTTTTGGACTCAGTGAGAGTTGAAGAGAAAGAGTCATCAGTAAATAGAGCCACTTTAGATGCAAGGTTGTCAGGAAAATCATTAACTCATCTCAAAAACTTGCCCAGATATACTGTATGAAGCAAAATTATGGAGAAAACCAGCATGTCGAAGTTTGTCAAAAACTTTAGACACAGCATTAGTTCCATAAAATCTTTCAGTCACAATAGTTTACTGTAGAGCAAAAATAGATGATCGAAAATGTAAAATATTAAAAATATTTTACTCAAGATTTGAGAAGGTCTTTGATTAAAGAATAAAAGACCTTGCTAATAACAGATAAAAAACTGATTTGACGATAGTTGAAGAGGTCAAAACGTTCTCCAGAGTTTTTCAAAATTGGATCCAAAGATGCCATTTTCCATCAGACAGGTCAACAAGGTTTAGTGAAGCACTTATTAAATAGTTTAAAAAGAATTGAGGAGAGTTCTGAAAAATACTTTTTCAAGACTATAACAGAAATGTTGTCTGAACCACAAGCCATAGAAGAGATATGATTTTAGCAATGTCTAACAATAGGTTAACCTGTTTAACTGAAATAGAAGAAAGAGTATGGCTATAAGATTCAAGAGTCAGATTAGAAGAAAAGTTCTTTTCAAATAGTTCAGTTTTATCCTTGGAAGAGGTAATAAAAACAATCTCATGAGATAGAATGTTAGACCTACCTCTGTTAATGACACTGTTAAAGATTTTTCAAAATTCTCCAGAGTCTAACTACTGAGATAAGATGCAAGAATTAGTGAACTGAGAATAATGAACAAAATGATTAGAATTAGATATGGCAGCTGCATAAGAAGGTGAAAATAATGGAGTCAAATGACTTGGAACCAATAAGAAGAAATAAAAGCTTTCTATTTATTCTGAATCTGGAAGGTTAACTAGAAGGTGCATTTATCAGCAGAGAGAAAAAAGACATCAGCCCAAAGACCGTCATAAAGAATATCACAAAAAAAAATCCCAGCCAGCTTTAGGGTAGTAATAACTAATGGAATGATAGAGTGTGTCCATAAGATGTAAGAGATAAAAAATTTGTAGAGATCATTGCATGGTTGGAAACATCTAAAGGAGAACAAAGAGAAACTGAACACAAGCAGGGTCAGAGACAAGAGACAAATCAAGGAGTGGAGGTAAGAGATTAGTGTTGCCTGGAAAACAAGTCACAAAGTTAACTATCTGAATAAGACATTGAGAAATGCAGATCTTATGAGCTTTAGTGCCAGCGGGGTTAGTGGTGTGAGAACCAAGCCATTCAGTATTATTAGCAATAAAGTCACTATTGACAACATTATTAGCAGAGTGGTAAAGATAAAGGGCATGGTCAATTTGATTAGAAATTGCATCTAAAAAAGTGCAGTATTGAGAAGAAGGAGAACAATAAAGAACAAATTGGAAAGGTGATAGAGTGAAGAGGTGCTAAGAGGAAGCACATAAAAGAATGGTCTAAGAATTCAAACCTGTTTTCTCAACAAATAGATGAATTGTTGTGAAATATACCTCCAAGCCATGCGTGTGACTATTAAAGTCTTTGTGAACCAAAGTATTATAGTGTTAGCAAATAAAGGGATAATATTCATCAACACAGAGATCTGAAGATAGAACAGCCAAATTTCACATAAGCAAACAAGTCTGATGAATTTTGCAAGAGATAAGATTCATCTGATTGAGGTTACTTCGAAGACCACCGGATAGTTAGTGATGATCCTAAACCTGACCTGATCTGCAGTTGTTAAAAGAAGATACTTCCTATAAACAGTACTATAAAACATAAATGGGAATATTTTGGAAATGCATTAGGAAAAACATTACATCTAACAGAATACTAGAGATATTTATAGTTGGAGTCACTAGTTGTTATTGAGCTCACACTGCATCAATGATTTAATCAGAACAGAAACATATGGTAAGTTCACTCACCCATACTGTGTTCACTCACTCATAAATTAAGTTATGGGTGAGTGAACACAGACATACATAAAGTAACTTATGGGTGAATGAACACCGCACCAGAGGTTCAGACAGAACAAAAGCATACATATAGCAATTTCCCGGTGCATAAATACTGTGCCAGCAGTTTAGACAGAACACAAATATACATATATAGTAAATTACAGGTGAGCTAACACAGTAACTAATCCCCTCCAACTCTAACTAAACAAAATAAAATTACCATTTATTGTAAAATCACCTAAGTTTAGACACTTTAGCTTTGAAGATTCATACCTTATATCTAATAATTTTTTTTCTCCCTGAATTATACAGACAAACTATATCGTTAATTTATATTGTAAAAATAAAATGTTAAATATAAAAACTTTTGTTTCAAATGATTTTGATTGAACAAATGAAAACAGCTTGTTTAATCAAACTTTCAATACCATCTCATAAGTTTGGTCATTATATACATTCCAATCAAAACGTTGTAATATTACAAATTTAACTTCCCAATATTTTAAATTTAACATCACAAAATTAACATCAAAAATTATGAAAACTAGTTTTCATAATTTTTCAATTCAATTTTTTAAATTGTTTTTTTTTTAATAGACAACTTAGATATAAAAAATTTATTATCTTGTTTAAAGTTTTAATTATATGCATAATTTTGAAATTCTTATATAAGACAAATTATTTTAGCATGGTGCAGTTAAATTAATTTTTTTTGTAAATTGGTTTCACAACATTTCTGCTAATTTTTGTTTTTATTGTTTAGTGTTGTTGCATAATTCATAAGTGACCAAAGTTACAGTATTTTAAAATTTTATTGATTTTATAGAAAAAAAGTACTAAATATTTGAAAAAATCCAAAAAATATTTTTAAAAATTTATTTTCTTAATAATATTAGTGCTAAATAGAGAAAATTTGTATAATGCTTTGCTTATTTTAGATTTCAACTGTATACTTAATTTCAAAACTCTTGTTTTGCATATAAATTATTTCAACAGATTTCAAAAAAACAAAATTTTTTAATGATTCTTATGCAGGAAGTGATAACAAATATTATTGGAGGAAAAAAAAATTGTAAAAATTGAAATATGCATGCATTTTTGTTATATACTCTTAACAAAACAAAACCTGATGAAATGCTAAGTTTAAGGGATGGTTTTAAATCATGTTTAAAGTCAGATGAGTTATTTTGATCAATAATGATATTTTGTTTTATATTTGATGTAGCACAGATTTATTGAAACTTTATTGGCAACTTTTTTTAATGTTTTTATGAAGCAAAAAAGTATTTCTGAAAATTAATGATCATTTTAAAATATTTAAAATTTGAGTAGCAACATAATTAATAATTAAAATTTGAGTAGCAGCATAAATCTTTTATTATTTTATAAAGTAATATTTTTTTATTAATTTATAATATTTATTTATTATTATTATTAAGAAAATCAACGTGATCAAAGAATGGGTTTCTCTATGTCTGTAATTAATGATTTTTTACTCATTTGTGCACCTTTATGGCATCGAAAAGCAAACAATGCACGTCTTATGTATTTGGGCAGATGTTCTGTATTAAACAAAAGCCATCAATTTGTCTCCAACTTTTCAGTTTGTGAAACAGGTTATATTTATATATTTATTTTGTCAATTTTTATGTATTCTTATTTTAAAAAATTAAATATAAAAAATTAAAATTTTTTAATTTTGTTTTTTAGAAAATACTGACTCAAATGTTTACCATGGGTACTGTGAGTCAGGTTTTAGTACTGATGGCATTGTTTATAATAATAAATACTTATTCTATTTGGGGGCTCCTGGATCATATTTATCAAAAGGTAAATTTTGATAAAAAATTATGCTTTAGTGTTTTTATTTTTGCATAATTATTAGAAATAATTTATATATATATATATGTATATATATATATATATATATATATATATATATATATATATATATATATATATATATATATATATATATATATATATATATATATACAACCCTTGGAATTAGGGTCGGCATTTGGCAATGCTGACCTAACTGCCGATGTTAAAGTGTCTGAGGTCGGTAAATAATTGTTGACCTCATTTCTATGTTTTATGGTTACCCCTTTGTATCAGTTTTTTTTTGCCAACCTTAAGCCAATTTCTAACAGTTTGAGTTCGGCAATTTATTGCCAACCTCACTTTTCCTAATTTCGAGTGTTGAATATATATATATATATATATATATATATATATATATATATATATATATATATATATATATATATATATATATATATATATATATATATATATATATATATATATATATATATATATATATATATATATATATGTAACTATATTTAGATGAATAAAAACAACTGATTAGCGGGACTTAAAGTTTCATGCCCGAAGGCAATCATCAGCCGTTAATACAAACAAAAAACGTAAACAAACCGTTACAAAAACGTAAAAATTACTGTAGAATGACATCTGACGTTATAAACAAATCTACGTAAAATACAATTCAAAAAAACAAAAAACAAAAAGCCGTTATAGTTTATTAGTCAAATAAAGATAAGAGGAATTTTTTTGAATGTCGACACTGAGATACGATTTCGTTTTTTTTATTCAGTAGGTTTTTTCCATTATGTGATAAAATTGCATATTTTTCGTAGAGACAAAGGTGGCATATTTTTGTTGCTAGATTGTAAGGTTTACAACGTTTGACAATTTTCCATTCTATAATGGGCTTTATGTTTTGGTCTTTTAAGTTTTATACCTCCTTAGATAGTTCTGTGTCATTTCTATATTTAACTGATGCAAATGATTTGAGATGGTTTGCGTATCTTAGTTTAAATGGTGTATTACTAATGCCAAAATATACTTTTTTATTACAATCATGATGACTGGAACTTACGGTTGCTTGATAGACAATATTGTTAGATAAACATTGATTGTTCAAAGGGCAAAATGCCTTATCTATGCAGTTACATTGGTTGGTTTTTAATTGATTTTTGTTGTGTAAAATTTTGAAATTATGCGAATTTATGATAGTTTTTAAGTTAGGCATGCAACTGTAGCTAATCTTAATGGAATTTCGGTTGAATATTTTATGTAGCTTGTGGCCGGCTGGAAAATATTAGTCAATAAGGGCTAGAAAATGGTTTCCTATTTTTGTTTTGACGTTTAAACTGAACGGAGGGTTATACCAAATAATATTACGTTTGCGTTGCTTTTTTTGTTGATTTTGACTTGAGATTATTTGTGGTTGGTAGGTAAGGTTCGATTTGTATCCCGATTTTTTTAAAGCCTCTTCATACGGTGGAATAGCCTTTTTGAAGAATATTTCATTACTTGACATGGAAGATAATCTTTGTTCAATATTGCGAGGGATTGCTTTTATTATGCTTGGAGGGTGGTTAGAATTAGAGTGGATGTACCTTATTTGATTATCAAGTTTAGAATACTATATATGTATATATGTATATATATATATACATATCCATATAAATATAAATATAAATATGAATATATATATATATATATATATATATATATATATATATATATATATATATATATATATATATATATAAATATAAATATATATATGCATATATATACATGGCTTAAAATAGCTGCCGGACATCAGATATTGTCCGGCACTTGTCTGGTAAAAAACAGCATCTATCAGTCATTTTGTCCGACCCATATTTTTTGAACATTTATTTTATAATCTTATAATAAATTATGCAATCGGGATTGTCCATAAATTATGCAATGCTAAATTTATTTAAAAAACAGATGTAGGAGATCTTAAGCACTTTTACATGGTGATTTTTATTGAACTTATTAAAGCTATTTTAATATATTTTATTCAACTTGAGGCTCTTCGAGTGAAAACTTTTGATCTTTATTGCTTTGTTTATTAGTGAAATTCAGCATAATTTTTGGACGATTCCTAAGCATTACATTTTTTTGAATTAAGCAGCCCGGTTTTTATCTTTTATATTTAAATGTTGCAATTAATTGTTAACTTAAATTTATATTTATTAAATTAAAAGTATTTAATTAATTTTTTTGTCTGATGGTTTTTATAAATTTCAAACAAATATTTTAGCTTTTAAAATTCCTTTTAAATTAATTTTATAAAAATTTTAACGTAATAGTTATTTTAATGCTTATAAAATGCAGTGTTTTTATTACACTATTAAATTTAAGTTTGTACATAATGTGTATTTTTGCACTCGCTATTAAAGTGTTTGTAAAATCAATCATAGAAAAAATAGAAAAAGTTTGAAAAGACTTATAAAAATATACAGATTTATATAAAAAAATTTTTTTTTAAGGGCTGCTAGGTTAAAAAAGAACATATATAATTAATATATATATATATATATATATATATATATGTATATATATATATATATATATATATATATATATATATATATATATATATATATATATATATATATATATATATATATGTATGTATATATATATATATATATATATATATATATATATATATATATATATATATATATATATATATATATATATATATATATATATATATATATATATATATATATATATATATATATATATATATTAAATATGGAATGGTGACATCAATAGAGTTAAAAAATGCCACCAAAACAATCCATCGAGACTATTACATTAAGTGACAAAACAGCGCTAAAAGGGAAACCGGTGCGAGATTGATTCAAGTTTAGAAAAATCAATACGAAATGAGGCAGCCAGTCAGTGTGAAATTTGCATCTTAGATGTAAATTAGTAAATGTTAATTATAGGTATATTAGTGAATGTTAATTATTGTATTTTTATTTATGTCATAATTTATTTTTATTATAATTAAACAGAAATGGTTTATTTGTGTAAACATGTATTATTACATGTATCTATTAAAATCGTCGTTTTAGACTCTTTTTCAAAAATGATCAATGATGACGATAACGGCAATTTTCTTGCAACTCTAGAGCTACTCGCAAAGCACAACAAGACCCTTTAGTTACATCAGAAAGAAGTTTCCTGGTGTCAACATAAAGGTAAACAAATTATTGTGCATTCTTTGGGTTAGAGTTCCCAAAATAAATTTATAAAAAAGTGCGGAAGAATCTTCCATGGTGCCATCATTAAAGAATCGCATATAGTAGTTTACTATTTTATTTTTTGTCAACGGAACGCCTGACGTCTCTTATACTGAGCAAATTGCATTTGTTCTCCGCTTTGTCTACAATGGTATTGATAAAAGACAGGTAGTTAAGAAGCGATTTATTAAGGTCGAAAATCTTAAACAAAAGAAAGTTGTGGCAAGTTATTGCCAAGATAATTATGGATTTCTAGGATCAAAATAACATCAATCTGAAGAACTGTTTAGGTGAAGGGTACAACAACGATGCCAACATGTCTGGTATGTACAAAGGAGTAAAAGCGAACATCCTTTAGAAAAATCCTGAAGCTTTCTACATGCTATGCAGCGCTAATAACCTTAACCTAGCTGGTGTTCATTTCCTTGAATCTTCTGTAGAAATGAAGAACTATTGAGGCCTGATTCAGTTACTCTACAATCTTTTTAGGGGAAGCCCTATACAATGTCAAATATTGACGAAGACAACTCGTTTGTCTCTTGATTAAACCTCACAAACCCAATAGAGTGTATGGATTGAGAAGCCGTTGGTTAAGCAACGTAGAGAAATGATTTTTTTTTTGCAGAAACTTCAGGAACTTGATTTAATTGCTGATCTATTGAATGACGTAAAATCTTTGGAGAAATAGATTCATTCATTTGAGTTTATTATCATGACAGCATTGTGGTTCGAAGCGCGCCAAGCAATTGTCAGCGTGTTTATTCAATCAGGAAACATTACTTTAGATGAAGATATGAAGCTTATGAGGGTTCCTATCAAGGATCTTATGAATTTTGATATTCTTGGACCGAATTAGTTAATGAAGACATTTGGTTACCTCCGGTTTAGCTAGTTATGGGTTTTAGTCAAAGTTAGTTCAAAAAAGGACAAGGAAGAGGAAAACCTTTTAAAAAGAAGCAAGGAATGAAGTTCATTTCTACGAAAACGGTGAAAAGTAGTTTAAGGTGAACGTATTTAACACTGTATTTAACGCCTTTAGATGCTTTTTACGTATTTCGAGAAAAACGCAATTAAAAATAATAATGCAAAAAAGTTTTTGTAAATTTTTTTTAAAAAAATATAGTTTGTATGCACTTTTTCAAACTTCTTTAAAAACAATTATTCAATAACCTTTGCAGGCACCTAAATAAGCTTATTTTTTAAAAAAAGTTGATTTTGATTTTTTTTACGTTAAGGTGTTATGAAAAACGGAAGATCACCGCTCTCAATACTTTAATCCAACAAATAAGAGACAGATTTCGAGCTGCAGAAAAAATGACAAACAGTTTCTCCTTCCTATGGTTCTCGGAACTGAACCACCTAGCCTGGAGGAGAAATGTAAATTTTGGCGCAAATCTATGTGAACAATGTAGATGAAGACAAACTAATTTTAGAGGTACATCATCTGGATATTCTGAAGCACACCAAGCTTTTCAGTCCAAAAGAAAATCTCACTTCGATGAAGCTGTTAAATGGAATCTATTAAAAAGGTCTAAAGTCTATCTTCGAATCAATAGGCATTTTGTTACGTATTTTTAACACCAATGTTGTTTCCATTGCTGAATAAGAGATCTTTCAGTAAGCTTAGTCTAGACAACATTAAGATCTACAATAAGACCGGCTAAGACCGGTTAAGACTGGCTAAGACCGGCTAAGACCGGCTAAGACCAGCTTACCAATTTCTTAGTTATACCTATTGAATATGATCTTGCAAAAAATCTATGCTACAACGAGGTCATTCCAAATTTTGCTTTAAATTGTGCCCGTAGAGTCAAATTCTCATGAAGCAATTAAAATATTAATTACATTTAAAACTCATAGTTACTCGCAATGTAATAAAGTTCAGTAAGTTATCAAGTTGTGCTTCTTTTTTACTTTTATTTCAAATTTATTTTAAAAATAAATAGAAGCCTCCTCGACTGTATTTACTCCCTCGGCCTTTAAAGTGAATTTAGTTAACAAAAAAAAATAAAAAGACAGTATTTGGACAGTACCTAAACTTTTTTGAATTAGATCAATATGACAGGGTGCTATGAAGAGCTCATTTTCAAAACGCTGTAAATCCATTTTTTAGCTTTTGACTTCACTAAGGTTAGTATCACCTTCAGTAGCATTACAGAGTAATGTTTTATACTTAGTAAGTATTCTGCCTTCTACTCCTACAAGACTGAGAAGACAAAAAACATTGTCTTTCAGTTTTCAGAAAAACATCGTCAGTTTTTAGTTTTTTTTGGTCTTCCATAATATTTTTGGTTTTTCATAGCCAACTTATATGTTTGATATGTAAAGCATGTATCTATTGCTGGGTATCCAAAAGCTAAATTGAAATGGTTCATAAATACCACATAATAATAATGTTAGCCTACAATATAAGTATTGTTTTTATCCAAAAAAGTTCATACATCCACTTTACATTTAAATCAAAGGGCAAATATTTATGTCCTGGAGCACCTTTTCTTCCATAATGACTTTCTCTGCTAGTAAAAGACTACATATGGTTTTTAATAGCTTCTTTCTTTTCAGAAAAAGCTACTTTCTTCCTGTCTCCTCTATTTTTAGGTCTGGTTGTTCCATGTTTATACCAGTGTCTTGCAATTAAAATGTCTTAAAACTCTATCAGGTTTTATGGCTGGAATAAATTAATAAAACATTAAATTTTTCTCACTAATTTTTTTTTAACAAAATATACATTTTATTTCTGAACTAAAAGTAAAGTAATTTTATACTTACACAATACTGAACAAAATGAAGCTTGGCAAACTCGTACTTTAATTCTCTCACAGCATAAAAAGTACTCAATACTCATAGTTCTTAACTTTTTTTGATTATTATATTTCACTCTGACTCTTTTCACATTGATTAAATTAAGAATTGACAGTATAGTAGCATCTTGTGAACTTTACTTGCAATACTATAGAATTCTGTATGATGTTTAAGCAAATTATCCTGTGTTATATCTCAAGCCTGAAATAAGTCAATCAATAAATGAATATTTTGCCATAAACACAAACTATGCCTAGTAATCTTATATTGTGTGTATTAAAACTTTAAACTCATAACTGAATTATAAATTTCAATATACGAAGATCAATAAAACCAAAAAAACTCACTTTGCAGTAACCTGAAACATGATTACATGATATAGAAGGAATTTTTCCTCCACTTGAATGTCTAAATAACTTTTTTTTCTCTCTTGCAGAACATTGTTTTTTTCTTTTTTGTGATTTTAACGTTAACACAACTCTTTCATTGAAGCCATCCAAACCCGCCATCTTTATTATTATTATTTAAATATGCTTATTGCGCTTGCGTGGAGTAACTTTATATAAACACAGGTTGGTCAAAAAAATATTCAGCACATTGAAAATAAACTAAAAAAATTATACCGTGTTTTGAAAATAAATTATTTTTAGAGCCTAAATTAAAAAAAATAAAAAAATAAGCCTAATTAATTAGTTAAAAACATGACTTGAAAGGGTTTAATTTTCTCTTCAAAATTCACTTAACGCAGTTTTTTTGAAATTGGCGCTTACCGCATTTAAACAATATAATTTAAATATAAATTAAAAAAGTAGGTTCAAGGATAGAACTTAAGGAACCTCTGAAGTTACAGGATATAAAGAAGAGTGATCCATCAAGGACAACTTTCATACTACAATTGGTAAAGAAAGATTCAATAATACTAAAGATGTTACCTGATACACCATAAAAAAAGAGTTATGGAGAAAACCAGTATAGAAAACATTTATCAAAGGCTTTAGAAATTATGAGATAACTCAAACCTCTCATCATCTATGTAATGCACAATCTAAAAAATGTGATGATGAAAAAATCTATTGGTTATTACTTTTAACAAATCAGCAGTAGAATTGAAATTGAAAACCAAATAGATAAAAGTAAGTTATTAGATTCAAGATGAGAGATTAAGTGTTTGTTAATTAAAGACTATTTATACAAGAATATTTACAGGTATATTGTCCAGACCACATGCTCTAGAAGAGTCTAAGCAGGAAATCACTTTAGATACAGAAGCTGTAGTGATACAAATGTCAAGCAATGGATTAGCCTGTTTGTTGGTATTATTAAAGGACGTGATTAGTGGAGTCAAGGTTGATTGATGAAAAGTTTCTTAGCAAACAATTCAGCTTAGTCTTTAGGTGAAGTAACAAAATCTTAAAAATGAAAGAGAGGTGGAATGAAAGAGAGGTGGAATAACAGATTTTCCCTTATAATAGAAAATTTCTCCAGAACTTTTGGAACCTGCTATTTTAGAATAGTATTGGTGTTAGACAAAACCTTATTACAATGGTTTCAAGCAATAGTAAACAGACGTCTGTTTTCTGAAGAATTATTTTCGTAATTGATATAAAAGTAATGGTTATGATTGGAAATTGCAGCAGCACAATGAGAATAAAACCATGAAGAAAGGCAAGGCTTGACTTTGAATTATTGAGAGGGAATAAAAGATTCAGTGCCAGCCTGAATCCAAGAAGTTATATAAAGAAGCACATTTGTCAGCAGGAAGACAAAAGATTTCTACCCAAGGGCCATCACAAAAAAAATTACGGAAAGAATCCTAGTTAGCTGATGATAAAGAATGAGATATTAGTTTTACAGAAATCAAACTTTAATCAGAAGAGCTCAAGCATGAATTTGAAAAAACTGAGCACTGGTTAGGATTAGAAACAAGCATGTGTCTATTGGAGTCTTTACGAATTAAAGGAAGATAACCATCTACCCTAATATCACAGGATGAGACAGCTGAACTCAAATTAGTCTCACTTTGCAAGAGATAAAACTCATTAAAAGAAAAGTTATTTTAAAGACCACGATTATTAGTGAATAATAGATTTAGAGAACTTTGTGATGACGATTTTTTTTAATTTTCGGTACTTAAGTCATTTTTTAATTTGTCAAAGATCTTGACTCAAAGTACAACATATAACAACATATTTTTTTTATAACAACATATTTTTTTACATTCAATTTTGTTTATTTAGTATGTTAGTTCATCAATATACAACATTTAATTTAATTTATAAAGATTCATTTAAAATTGACCAGCATTACAATGAATGAATTAAACATCACTAAATAATAAACTTAAGTTAGCTAAGAACACAAGTTAAAGAGCATGTAAAAGAACTGTTAATTTATGCTTTTAAAAAACAACAAAGCTCCCAATATTGCAAAGGATCTTAAGGTCACTAAAACCATCACAAAGAATACATAGGTATTTTTGAATAAAGTTGATAGGTAGTAGTGGTGGTGGTATTTAGAGAGATTGGGAATAATAAGGATGGAAATAAATTGTATTTAGAGAGATTGGGAATCTGTCAGGGTTTTTGGTACTAACGGAAGCTGATTTGGTGGTTATTGGATGGTATGTGTCAGCAGATATTTTTTTTATAGGTATTGCAGATCTTGTTTAGTAGTTCTTCTATATCAAAGCAAATATTGAAGTGACTCAAGTTGGTTGTATCAATTTGATTGTTTTGTAAGGCATTTTTATGAAAATGTTAAAATTTCATTCTTTATCTTAAATACAAACCTTGTTGAACAATCCCACGACACTGAGAAACAAGTTGGCCACAGTGCTATCAGGGATATAAAACAATATAAACTTCATACCTACTGCTTACAAAGCAAGTAGCTATGAATTTTATATTGCATTATATTCCTGATATATTATGGTATTTGTTTATTTTTTCAATTTTTAATTTTTTTCTGTTTTTAATTTTTTTCTATTTTTTATACTACTAGTATTTAATATTTTTATTGATTGGCACATTGGTCAATAAATATTGTGTTTAATGGTAAATTTAAAAAACAGTTTTTTTGTAATGAATTAAAATGCAAATGAGAATGTAAGTGTTTATTATCATGTAAGCAATAACATAATACAAGAAATTGTAATAGTGTAATTCAAGAAGGTAAAATATAAACATAAATAAACATAAGAAAATAACTATTAATTTTATGAGTTTTTTAATTGACAAGTTTTACTTTAACCAAGTACAATAGAGTTTTTAGATTCAGAAATTTAATTGATGCCATTAAATTGTGTGTTAATTATCTGTGTAAATTTATAAATCGAAATAATTGATTTTTCTTCTTTATTTTCTTTATTTCTGTTTTATTTTTTTAATTAATTTCGAAGGCCATAATTAAAAATTAATTTAGAAGACTGAAGAAAGTTCAAAAAGTTTGAAAATTTTTTTTTATTGATAGATTGCCTGCCCAAATTAAAATCCACAGTCGATGTAGCATGTTCTACTTATCGGTCATTATAGCAGTACCCCTTACATGTTCTACCTATTTGTCAGTCAGTGTGGCAGCACTCCTTGCATGTTCTACCTATGTACATAACCAAAGTTTTGTTTTATGTTACAAACTAAGTAAAAGTTTTACTTAATTTTAAAGTATCTTAAATCATCTTGGTTAATTAAACTGTTTTCATGGAAATAAAAAAATAAAATATGTTATCAAAATATCTATATTATCAAAAACATTCCAAATCTTTCAAAATCTTGAAGATGAATAAATAATAATAATTTATAACTACAAGTTTTATAACTTAAGATTAAATAATGAATTAAAAAAAGCCAATAGTTAAACATAACAAAAAACTAGCAATCTAACTGATAAACGTAAAAAAATTTTAAAATTAATTTTATTGTTTTTTAATATTAACTCTAATGTGATTTTAGGCGTGATATTTGCTGAAATACAAGGAACGAAGTCTAGGTTGAAAACAAGTGAAGAACGTCTTAAAGATTATTCATATATGGGTAAAAAAATTTTTATGTTTGCATAGATGAAGCTTGTATGTATGTATGTATGTATGTATGTATGTATGTATGTATGTATGTATGTATGTATGTATGTATGTATGTATGTATGTATGTATGTATGTATGTATGTATGTATGTATGTATAAAACTTTAGTATAAAACTTATTTTTTTGGTATGGTATAAGGTATTTAGCACAAATTTTATTCCTTTGGTTTGGTACGAGTTTCGTAAAATATTTTATTTTGTTAGTCTTTACAATGTCATCGCAGATGGCGGTCGTGTTTGATTAAATGTTGAAAAGAAAGAAAAAAGAAAATAAAGAAAGACAATTAAAGAGTTAATTATCAATTGTTTCAAATAAAGAATTCAAAAAACAAGAAGAGTAAAAAAAAAAAAAGAAACTTTTAACAAATAAACACTCAAAAATAACATTTAAAAAAACAAATAAAAGAAAATTCGAACATCCATTTTTACTTAACAAAAAAAAAGAAAAAAAAAGAAAAAAAAAAGGAAAAAAAAAAAAAAAAAGGAAAAAAAAAGAGATAAGTTGATAAGTTAATAAGAAGATAAGAAGAAAAGATCAGTTTATTAAAAGAGTAGATAATTTTTATAGTTTTTATTTGTATATATTATTTTTTATCTTATTTTAAATATTATACTTTTTATTTATTTATATTACTACAAGTTATTATTAGATTACTTATTTTGATATATTATATTAATTATTTATTTTTATTGTTATTATATTTTTTAAATTATATTTCTCTTAAGTTTGATTTTTTTTTTACTCTTTTAGTTTGATTTTATAACTTTCTTCAATATTTTTGTTTTTGTTATAGTTTACTGTTTGTTTAGCTTTTGTGTTATTGTTCAAGATAAATTATTATTTATTATAATTGTTAGTTTTTCAATGTTTAAATCAGTTGTTGTATCTTTGTTTAGTATTTTCATGTTTTGTATCGTTGTATTTTGTGTTTCTTTGTTTAGTATTGTCATGTATTTTTGTGCATTGATTATATTGTCTTGTGCGATGTTTATATTCTCATTTATTTTTATTATACTCTCATATATGTCATTATAATGTCATATTCTTTCGTGTAAAAGTTTAGTTACTTTTAATATTATAAATTATTTTTTTACAATAAATGTTTGTATTGTGTAGTAGCCTGTTACATTTTGTCAGTATATACTGTTTGTAACTTCCCCTGCCTGTACTTATATATTAGATTATTGTTTGAAAATTATTACTGACTTTTTAATACTATATTATTACTTTATTATTGTAATAATTGTTGCTTAGTTTATTAATTATTATTGCTATAATTATTGTTAATAATTGTTAATATTAGTATTTATTGTTAATATTAATAATTATTATTGCTATAGCTATTGTTAATATTATTTTTAATAAATCATTTTAATTCTTATTTGTTTTATTTTTATAATTAATTGTGTAATACACTACTAAAAATATTACTTATAATTATAAATATTACGGTTATTATATTCGTTAAATCATTTTTTTTCTATAACTGTGTTTACGTCATTGCAAGGGCAATGATGTAACTGCTGGACTGGTGTACATTCAGTTTTTGTCAAGAGATAGGGTTTTATATTATTATTTTAATAAATTACGGCTAGTTACATTAATACATTTTGTACCAAAAGTGCAAAACATAATAATTTAATCAACCATAATTTTATGTTTTGTTTGTAATCTCTGTTGTAAATTTTTTGTTTTTGGTTTTTCTTAGCAATTTTCGGTTCATATTTGTTATTCTTATTATTATTTTATTATTATACTTATTGTTATAATTAATTGGTGTCACTTATTTTGATCATAAGTTACAATCATGTCATCATATTATTTGTGTTATAGATAGTATTATTATTATTTAATTATTATTTTTATAACTATTTGGTGTATTGTTATAGATAATATTATTATTGTTGTTATTATATGATTTTATATAAATTTTGAAAAGGAAAATAAATATCTTGCTGTTGTTGTTGTTGTTGTTGTTGTTGTTGTTGTTGTTGTTGTTGTTGTTGTTGTTGTTGTTGTTGTTGTTGTTGTTGTTGTTTGGTGTAAGGTGTCTCGTACAAGATTTTTTTCATGTTTTGAATTGCTTTTATTTTGTTATTTTTTTATTTCATATTTTTTTCATTTTATAATTCTATTACTTTTTCATATTATAATTCTTTTACTTATTTATATTATAATTCTTTGCACTAATAGAGTAATGAAAGAGAAAATGAGACACTTAGGCACTAATTTATCTTATACAGACTGTCTAACACCTTTTGAACAAAGAACTTGATATATTGTTATTTTTCAAATCTTCTATCATCCTACTATAACCTTACAAAATAATAGTTGCAAAACTAAAGTAGTTTGGTTACCAGAGATTATTTATTGACAGCATCTTGTCTCATTTTGCCTGTTATGCAGAGTAAAATGAGATTTTTTTTTAAGTTCAAATAAATAATGATAAACAAAACAGTTCTTTAGGAGGATCAGCAAAATAAATATTTTATAATATAATATAGCTATAATCAAACTGTCACTTGTCAATCATATAATTAAACACACTGTCACTAGTCACATAAATCACATATTGCATCACCAGTATTTTGAAATGTTGTAAGTTTTAAACAGTGACTCCACTTCTCTTCTTTTGTTTTACTCCATCCACATTCTATATTATAAATTTTTTTTAGCGGTTTAAAAAAGCATTAATAAAATGGCTGCAACTGCAAAGAAGTTGTAATAACTATTCTATTTTCCTTTGCAAAATCTAACAATTTTTTTGTTTTATGCCCATTTAAAACTATAGAATTTTATTTTTGATAGAAGCTCTAGTGTGTTTTGTAAAATATTTTATATACTCTATAGATAGATCAGTTGTAAACCAGCCATTTTTAGAGTTGATGAACTCTCCTCCAAACAGTTCAAGTGAGAGCATGATCTATGAGCTCTAATTGCATTCTCTTTCTTTTAAAAATCATCATCGCTTTCTTTAAAAAAACATCATAAATAAAATTGTCATCATCAAAATAAATTGTCTACTCACATTCATAGTACAAACAACAATTGTTGTTATACCCTAGTTACAGAGGAAACACAAAGTTTTTCTTTTTTTGTTATAACTTCAATAGGCTTATGTCCAGTTTTAATGCTTGATTCATCATAGTTAAAAATTTGATGAGTTTCTAAGTTGTATTTTTTAATAACAATTTCTATATTGTTGAAATAAATGTTCATAGAATTGCAGTTTAAACCATAAACACAATTTAAAGACAATCCTCGAGGCTTTTTAATTGAAAGATCTGGATTAGAGATGGCAAGAATATTTGGTGACTTTTTGTTATTCGGTTTATTCTGCTACTTTTTTTACTATTTGGTATTCAGCTGAATAATGCAAAATATTCTGCTTGATACCAAATACCAGATTGTAACAAAAAATATGCATAAAAACAGATTACATATAACTATTTTTATATTTTTTATTTTATACATTAAAAGGTAGTCACAATGAAAACATTTTCATCGTTTGATGATAGCCATTCACTATTTACACTGCTACAGGTAAATAATAGGAAAATTTTAGCAAATTCTGTTAGGATAATGATTTGTGTTTGATGACCACAAATTATAAAGGTTTTGCTGTCAATTTAGGTAAACAGTTTTATGTAAAAAACTAATTTCATTTGCGATGGAAATTTTCTTTTTCACATAATAATATGTGTGCATATTTTGTGTAGATCATTTGTTTGATCATTTTAATTTACATTTAGGTCTTTCCATATCAAATCACCTAATGGTCCCCAGGATACCACCTTAAATTTGCTTCAAATTTTTATCACCCACAGTATTTATGAAAAAAATACAGACCTCAAAATTTCAGCTAGATTAACCGATCCGTTCAAAAGTTATAATTGAATTAATATTGACCAAAATTGAAAAAATTTAAGTATCCGGAGCTTACAGTAGATTTTTTCAATTTTTAACAGATCATAACTTTTTAAATAAAATAGATGAAAATTTTTAAGGGTAATAGTTTTTCACCCAAATTATCTATTTTTGTAAGTATTTTTGACTGATTTAAAACAATTTTTGAGTTCTTGTACCTCAAAGTTGCTAAATAACGCAATATTAGAAAAAATTTTTGGAAATTTTATTGTGCTACAGTTCAGTACTAACAGACAAGTTGAGCCAATTTTTTGTTACTTTCATTTACTTAGAGTTACCACTTTTTTTTTTAAAAAAAACATCTTCGCTTCCAATAAGGCTGCAAGCAACCACTAATTAGTGTTGGAAGTTACTGGAAGAGAAAAGATGATGATTGTTGAGCAAGATAATGATTGAGAGACGACTTAAAATATTGCAAATTATATGAATCAGGAAAGCAAGATGAAGGAAGCAAATTCCAAAGAACTGATGTTAGAGGGAAAAAACTAGACAAATAAGAGTTTTTGGAGCACTTAGGAACAGTAACAGAAAAAGGATGAAACTTAATTGAATGACGAGTAACATGAGAATGAATTTTAGTAGGTGGCACAAGAGACGCAAGCTCTTTAGAGCAGTGTCCATTATAGTATTTGTAGAAGAGAGAAAGAGAAGCAACATTACAACGATGTGACAAAAGTTGTAGGTTGCCTGCAAGAGCGGGTCCAACTATGTTTACAATACGTTTTTGCACCTTGTCTAAAAGAGAAAGGGCATCATTAAAAGATCCGCACCAGATATGGCAACAGTATTCCATACAAGGACGGATTTGAGATTTATAGAGATAGAGAATAGAATCCAGAGTTAGAAAGTGTTGAGCTCGATAAAGAGATGCAACTTTAGCAGATGCTAATTTTGCAACAGATTTGATATAAGGTTTCCAAGAAAGATCAGAAGTAAGAGTTAATCCTAGAAGATGAAGGGTAGATGACTCATTGAGCACATTACCATTCATAAATATAGGAAGGTCTAAATTATTGCGATAATGATTGGCTGAAAAAAATTGAGTTTTATCTGAATTAAAGTTCACCAGCCACTGCGAGCCCCATGCTGTAGCAGAAATGAGATCCTTTTCAAGCTCAAATGCCCTCTGCAAGCAATCAGAGGGAGTTCGCTTCTTATTGTGACAAGAATAAATGGTAGTGTCATCAGTGAACAATGCCACCTTAGATGTGAGAATATCTGGAAGATCCTTAATGTAAATTAAAAAAAGTTATTTTTGTTTACTTGAAAGCTTTAGAACTTAATTTTTGTGTTTATATTGCCATTTTTAACAAGCCATTTTAAAGCAATAATCAATGACATGGTTAGTTAATGAAAACTTATTACATATATAAAGTCACAATTTTTTTAATCATTTTTTACTAATTAAAACATTTCAAAATTTAAAAAAAGATATAAACAAGTGAATTTTTCTTAATATTAAAAACAGCGTTTTAAAGGTTTTTTTAAATAAAATTAGTTTTTATTATATTTAAATTATAATTTTCTATTTCTTTTATTTTTACTGTTTTTATTCAATTTATCTAAATCTGTTCAAAAGTTGTTAGTAATGTATTTTCAATAGCGTTTTTTAAATAATTTTGTTATTAACCAATAAGCACTAGTTTAGTTGGCCTTTTTTGATAGTACAGTCACTAAACTATCAAAGATTTGCTCAAGAACAACATCATAAACCACTTCAAAATCTACTAAAAATAGATTAAAAATTAAAAATGCTTTTTTGCAAATAATAAATAAATCATGTTTTACAAACAAGACAGTTTTGACAAACTATCTTGAACAAATAAATCACTAGAATTTAATCAAATAAAGTTTTCATTCAAAAACTGTACACAATGAAACAATATTCAAAAATGAGAAATCTATATTTGACAAGTATTTCTGTGTCCCTGCAATGTCAATTCCTGTCCAGCGTATCTTTTTTCAGAGTGAATTGACGATGTACCATAGAGCTCATATGTCTTAAAACTTTAATGTTTTCTTAAATGTAATAAAGATATAGGCTATATATTGATTGTTAATGCTTATGACTTATAGTTAATGGTAACAATTAAAAGCAACATAGTTTTAATCAAAAGACATTAGTTATTAGAAATATGCACAAAAAATCAATATATATATATATATATATATATATATATATATATATATATATATATATATATATATATATATATATATATATATATATATATATATATATATATATATATATATATATATATATATATATATAAAGTAACTATCATTTTTAATCCTGATGATTCTATATTTGAATACTGGTAACTCTATAATCTTGTCCCTGTGATTCTAAAATCTAATCCTGGTGATTTTATAATCTTATGCCAGTGATTCTATAATCTAATTATAAGCTTTTAGAATGATACAGTCTATTTTGACTCTTCAACTCTTCATTATTTTGCTGAAAGCTTTATTATGCCTTAATCCTATTTTAATATTTTACTTTTTTGTATTTCTTTAGTAATGATTTTAACTAAGGTTTAATGAAATCAAATTTATTTGATTATCACAAATTTATTCACTTTCTTTTGTAGGCTATTCAGTTTCTAGTGGAAATTTTACTGGTAATGAATATGGAGGTAACTTTATAAATAGTATAAGTAATAAGATTTTATAAAGTATAAATAAAACATAATAACATTAATAATGCTTAACATGTAATAATAATACCTTAAACCTTTCACTCATGCAAACCATGTTATTTTAAAAAGGTTCAAAATTAGCTAAAAACAGACAAAAGAAAAAATGTTTACAGATTAATAAAAGATCTTTATGGGAAATATCTTTGTTTTGTTTCTAATCTTTAAGCTTCTAACCATACAACATACAACATCTTGAGTGGATCAAAAAAGACCAAGTTTAAAAGTGTTCCTAATTAAATTTTTTTATTTTCAAAAATCAAAATTCACTTTGAACTATTTAAGGAATTACTCAGAAAAATGATTATAAAACAAGAAAATCATTAACAGAAGACTTAAAAAGCCGTAAATTTAGTGGTAAGATTGTCAAGTAAATTATGATGCAGATGGGAAACATTATGCAGATGAGAAAAATTAAAGGGTCAAGGGTTATTATTGTCAGAAAGGAAAGTTATATCACAAGAATTTATTAAAAGCTTCAGTTAAAAGTAATATCTAACAATTATTCCCTTATTATGGTAAAAAATTATCAGTAGAAATTTATTGTCAGAGTTTTTTAACTCAAGGTAATATATTAGAAGACTCAAAGACTAAAAATGTTTATCTCGTAGTTGATACAGAATGTAATGAAAATTATTTTATGAATTTCTGTTAGGATGAAATAAAAGTTAAAGATTTTTTGAATATTTGGCAGTAAAAAATAAAAAAATTCTTCTGTTGTCTTTTTCTTCACATAAATTTAGTATGAAAACTGTATGGTGAGGAGCTTGTACTTAATTATTGTATTTCTCACCAAGTTATCTTCGACAAATTTATTTAACCAATAATTTTTATTTTTGAAATATTGCCACTTTTTTATGTAGAATCTTTTTACTTAAATGACAACTTGTTTATTTACTAAAGCATTAAAATAAACTTTGTATAAAGATTTAAAGATTGATATATAATTAAAGATTGTAATACATAAATGACTCCATTTTTCTTTTTATTTTAACACTAAGTTGCAAGTCTTAGTCTATGCCTTATCTATCATTTGTTGTTGCTTCAACTCTTTCATAATAAGTTTTATTTTTTTGTTACTTTATGAGTTATGATAGTTTTAATGATTAATAATAATTGAACTGTAATAAATAGTAATAATATATATTTTTTTCAATTCATATTTATATTATATTTATTTTTAAAAAATAATTATTTATATAAAATATTTATTTTTCTCTATAAAAAGTTTTTCTGATGATGTTATTATAGATGTTGTTGGTGGTGCTCCACGAGCTAATAATCTTAAAGGAATGGTAATTAAATTATTTAGTCTTTAGTTTTGAAACTATGTATTTTTTTATAAGTTGCCTATTTTTGTGTATGTGTCATTGCCGCCCCCATTCTTGAGACCTGCTAAAACTTTCAGTTTTAGCAACCAACCATTGTTCATTTTTGCTGAAAGTAAAAATGAACAAAGGTTGGTTGGCCTCCATAAATCTGATCTCAAAAACAGTCTGGGTAGCGGCGATGTCCGACCGTTAAATTGATCCCTGCACACACATTTATCACTAGTTTAAAAATATCTTTAATATTCTTTAATATTTTTCATTATTTTTATGTACTCATTGAATATAAAATTATATTCAAGTTATTGTATGAAAAAAATTGTGTTGCTAAATTACAACACTGATTAAAAAATCTCTTTTTGTTTTTGTTTTTTTAGTCACAATAAAACAAATTTTTTTCTTTTGTCTTTAAATACATTACAAAATAAAAAATAGTAAAAATAAAATAAAAAATTTCTGTTTAATATTTCATTTCCAGTTACCTTATGACCTCCTAATTACCTTACAATCTTATAATTACCTCATGATCAATTATTACCTTATGATTCTTTTGCATAAAGTTTTATTAACAATTTTCTTTAAAAAATATAAAAAAACTTTGTACTTGTTTTATTTTATTTTTTACTTATGAAAAGATATCAAGCAAAAATTTTTTTAAAGAGCCTAAAGAAAAAAAAAATAAAAGCCTAAAGAATCAGACTCAAATCAACCTGCAACTGCAACACATTATGTTAAAATTGTTTATGAACAGAATTTTTTGCTTATCATTTGTTCTTTATAACCATCAAAAGATATATTTTATCTTTTACTTTTATTTTTATTTTTTTAAATCTTTTATTTTGCTTTTTCCATCAAAACTTTAATAGTTTGGTACTTTTTTATACATTTTACATAAGTGCAGTGAAACTTATTATTTAAAAGAGTTAGATAAAAGAAAACTTTTGAACTCTTAAATCCATTAATAAATAAAATGCAAAAACATTTATAATATAAAAAATATTGTTTATATATAAGCTATCATTACAATTATCTTATAAATTTGTTTATATTTACACAGTTTGCCTTTTAGGTAAAATACTAAATTTAGGTTTTTTGAATTGTGTCCAAATTAATTTCAACGTTTTCTGAAAGAGTATAGTTTACTTATCACTATGTATATAGTCTACGAAATCAGAAAATTCCTATTAAGTAATTATGGCATTTTAAAGATTTTTTTGTGCCTTTTTGTTGCACCTTTTATTTTGCGCCTTTTTTGCCATTTTTTTGTCCGCCATGTTTTTATTCAAAATTTTATTGTTAATTTTAAGTTAAAAGTTACAGACTATTTATTGGAAATAAATAATACAAAAGGTATTTTTTATATTACATTGTTAAAGAGTGGGTAATCACATAATCGAAATGTTTCAAATCATCAAACAAACATGTATTTACAAATATAAAATTAAAAATCTTTAAAAAATATCAACATTTAGATCAACATTTCCGAGAGAAACAAGATGTTTTCCATTATAAGAATTTAATGCACTCACTAAATTATGTCCATAGTTAGAATTATTAGCAGACACATTGTAGCGGTTCCATGAGGCAGTTTTGCAGAGGTAGTGAACACTTTCTCCAGATTGCTCCAAATAAACTCCAAAGCCCATTTTTTGGTTTTACAGAATTCAGATACATGATTGAACAGGATATAAAATTTTGGTGTTAAAGTAATACCATGTTCTAACATCAACTTTTTATAGCAGGCTTTTAAATTTTTGATATTAGTTTGAAAGATTTCATCAAGTCCAGATCAAAAGCAAGATTCAACAACTAAATTTGATAACCTTAAGCATTCTCCAAATAACTTTAGTTTAATTGGCAGCTTATCATTAAACACTTTCCACTTTTTAAGAATTTTCGAAAAGAGTTTCCATTAAATTTTCCACCATGCTGACCAGTCTTAATAATTTGCAACTTTTCATAAATCTCCTTTATATTCATTTCCGACCAAATCTGTTCCATGTTATCCATTACATGATTGATTGTTCCCTCCATTATATGAAGCTTTGGTAAAACAAGTCTATCTAAAAGAAATTCAGAGGGGTTTCTATGTACTAATACAGGGTTTATACAATTCTTAAAATGTTGTGCACACTTTTGAACTAGATTCTTTGAATTTTGTATAATTTTCTTGACAGCTCAAAGGTTCTGTATGGAGCATTTTTCAAGGTTCTCTTCTATCCCATTCAGGGATGAATTAAACTGCTACTTGGAGATATACCTATCAGAATTTAAAGTTTTATGTCGCATACCCCAATGTGCTCAACTTTTTCAAGATTTAGTTTTTCAAATAATGTTAAAATATCTTTCTGGGATCTCTGGAGCTACCAGAAGAAGAAATAAAGCATTTACTGACGAATCTTTGAATTTCTTCATTAGATCATCTTTATATGAGCCCCTGCAAGCTGTTACAGGTTTTGTTTTAAGGTAATCTATGTCAAATTTGCTGTAATTTTCAAAAATTTCATTAAGATCAACTATATTTAAACAACTTTCCCCATCAACAGCAATTTTAAACAACTGATTCTTAGAATCAACACATTTAAAACCACTTTCCCCGTCAACAGCATTTTTAAACAACTGATTCTTAGAATCAACACATTTATAATCACTTTCCCCGTCAACAGCAATTTTAAACAACTGATTCTTAGAATAATAAACACATTTAAAACCACTTTCCCTGTCAACAGCAATTTTAAACAACTGATTCTTAGAATCAACACATTTAAAACCACTATCCCCGTCAAAAGCAATTTTAAACATCTGATTCTTAGAATCAACACATTTAAAACCACTTTCCCCGTCAACAGCAGTTTTAAACAACTGATTCTTAGAATCAACACATTTATAATCACTTTCCCTGTCAACAGCAATTTTAAACAACTGATTCTTAGAATCAATACATTTAAAACCACTTTCCCCATCAACAGCAATTTTAAACAACTGTTTCTTAGAATCCAGGAGTAGTTTAACAAAAAAAGTAAGATCATTGCAGTACGCGACTGTAATATTTTTATATTCCAAAATTTTATCTTTGTTTTTAAATTCAAATAAATTATTTTCTTAAGTAAATAATGGGAAAAGATAACTATCCAAATCAGAGACACGGTCTTTCAGTCCAGGTTCTACAGCTTATTTCAACAACTCTGTAATTATTAATTTTTTTTAATAATAAGTTTTGCTACAAATATTGCATCATTTTATTGTGTAGAATTTGTATTAGTATTGTGATTTTACCTTATCATATTAGCAAGTTTTATATTTTAATGATTGCTTATAAAAAGAGAATTCTGAATACAAAAAAGATTTTTGTGAGTAAAATTGATTGTTTTTAGAGTATTCTCAGATCCAATAGATAATTTTAGTTTACTACCTCCTGTCTTCAATGAAATGGTGTTACCACTTTCACTACATAGCTTTTCTTTGATAACGTGGGAAGCCGTTTGTTCCTTGACATCTAAAAAAAGTTTACTAAGGTTCAAAAACTTACTAAGGTTAAATTAAAATCATAATTTTTGATTTATTAATTTTAGCATTTCTTTCACTTATATCTCTATTAGTAACGCAAAATAATAAAGCTTTTCTAATACCTTGATATCCTTGTGCAGTTGATATGTTATTTCTGAAAAAAACTACACCGTGGACTAACAACTGCCGTTTTAAAACTCTTTATGCCAGATTTTATATTGGGTATTCTTCCCTGCATTATTGCAATTTTGCATATTTCACAGCTACAAGTTTTTAGTTTCCTAAAATTATAAAAAAAAAATTATAATTTTGTATTTCTTTACAACAGATGTACAAATAAAATAACAATAATGTTTTAGTCATCTTAGGAAGAGTCATCTTTGACCAGTCAATGTTAAACCTAATTTTTTTTTCTGAGGTCAATAACATTTGTTCTTTCAACTAAACCCTTACACCTTAAATAGATATATATTACAATTAACTAAAACAATTATATGCTAGTATCAAACAAAATGTGGTTTAATTCATTTATTACAACTTATTTCTTCGAGTTTAACAAGGTATCCAATTTTTCAGTTATGTGAATTTACATAACTGAAAAATTGAATACCTTGTAGTAAAAAGTAAATGTCATAAACATAAAAGCATTTATGAATGATTTTGACATATTTACTTTTTATATATTTATTTAGTTAAAAATCATAAAGTATACCAACCTTGGACACAATCCAGTAGGATATCGATCATCAGCAATGTTATAATCCAAAAATTTAGAAATTATATGGCTTTTGATTTTTGTTTTTATATGATATTTGCGACCACAAAAAAGGCATATTTTTTCTTTGTTCTTTTGATGATCTAAAATAGTCTGAGGATGGGATTTACCAATTCTTAACATTTTTTTTAACAAAATTTGTTCAATGATTGTCTTTTCCAATTAAATTTGCGGCAGAAAAAATGACAGATTAAAGACAGCCACAAAAACAAAAAATGCGCTAAAAAAAGGTGCAAAAAAATATTAAAAATGCCATAATTACTTAATAGGAATTTTCTGATTTGGTGGACTATATACATAGTGATAAGTAAACTATACTCTCTCAGAAAACTTTGAAATTAATTTGGACACAATTCAAAAAACCTAAGTTTAGTTAAGGCAAACTGTGTTTACTTAATGATATAAGTAAATATAAATAAATCCATAGTCATAATAACAGTTAGTCTGGCTAGTAGTTTTAACAAGGTTCAAATGCTTTCAAATAATAGAAGTTAAAATTTTTAACTTATGTTGAAAATATTTTATTGTGTCCAGACTGCTAACTAGTTAACAATTTTTTTTTTTTTTTTTTGTCGTTAAGAAAGTAACACAAAATAATAAAATATTTTGCTGATTTTTTCTTTTTAAGAAAAATTAATAAACTATATGTTTTTGAGAGACCTCTTTCTACCAAAACCTTGTAAAAAATAAAAACAACAATTAAAATAAGTTATTTTATATCAAATCATGCAGTGTAACAAACGTCTGTTACTTAAAAATTTTAATATACTTTTTTTTTGCCACTGAAATCACATTTAAGTTGGTGTTTTTTATTTATGCTTATTTTCATATTTTCTTTAAATTAGCTAATATTTTCTCTAAGTCAGCATGTTGTATCAGGATAAATACCTAGTATGCACCACTTTGTCATATATTGAAAAGTATTCAGCAGGTACAATATTAGTGAAAAGAAAAAGAGAAAATAGAATTCTTTACTATGTTTTTAAACTTACAATTTTTTACTGTAAACTCTTTCCTCAAGATTACAAGTGCTTTGATGATTGCAATTTTCTTAAGGGCATAAGTCCTTCTTTTCTGACTAGAGGCCATATTGGAGATATCCCATCATAGCAATATCCCATCTTCCTTGATCTAGATTCCATATTTGTATTGTTCTGATGAAATCTCTTACCAAAATCTTGTTTGATATGAAGTCGTAATAAGACTTTGTCTAAAAGAAGCTGCTCTTTAATTTGTATTAAACTTTTATTTGTCTAGTTTTTTTCCCTTTTTTTTCTTTTCTATGAATACATGCATCTGCTCAGAAGATGACACTATCTTTTATTTGTCTAGTTTTTTTCCCCGTACTTCAACCCTTTGAAGTATGGGGAAAAAAACTAGACAAATAAAAGATAGTGTCATCTCTCTCTCTTCTTCATGTTTTCCTGACTCATAGAACCTATAACTTTTCAAGTCTTCTGTCAACCATTTCCTTGCTCTATTCCTTTTTTCTATTAACTCCCAACTTAATAGTAGTTGCTTGTGATTTTTTTTGAAACCAGTTTATGCCAAGTCCCTAATTCCCATAAGAAGTAACAGGTTTGAATCAGGGTACCTGGCACCGGTACGATTTAAAAAAGTTTGAATAAAAGTTTGTGAAATTAGGACTTAATTGTTTTCAGAAATTAACACTGAACAATTTTCAAAAATTAAGTTTGTCTAAATATAATAAGTTTCTTTTTGATAAACAACTATATTTATTTATACTCAAGGTTACAAATGCAAACTAAAGTGTAAACTCGATGTACATAAATATTCTTTATCCCTCAGGGTTGTTAATATTTGTAATAACTTGCTGTCTGATGTTGTTAATGCCAAAAACATCAAGAGTTCTAAAATTAAAATTAACTCTATTAACTTTAAAAAATGCTGTAAAATAAAAGATTAAAAGAAAAAGAGATTTGCAAAAAAAAAAAAAAAAAGAAAGAAAGAAAAAAAGTAGACTTTCTTGACTGTAGTGTCTTGTCTGTAATAAAATAAAAAAATATTTTAAGTAAGACATGTCTATATTGAGTAAATAGGGCTTTGTGGTTATTGACTCAATAACACTCTTAGTCTTATATGAAGAAGTTTATTAGTTGAAGTTTAAACTAAAAGCAATCCTTTTAATAATATTTTGACAAAATTTACCACTTAAAAAAATAGTTACAGCACTTAAGGTTAATGTTTATAAGAAATTTTTTTTAAGTTACCTTATGCCAGGGTTTTGCAAAAAAATGGCAGATTCTGGGTACCTGTGAAAACAGCCAAATTACCAGATACTTGTGTCTGAACCGGGTACCCGGCACATCACTAGTTGGAATTTCTACTCCATGGTTTTTACCTTCGTATGCAGCTGCTATATATAATCGTAATCATTTTTTTCATCTTTTTTTAATGAACAACTTTCTTGACAACAAACTGCTATTAAACTGCTATTAAAGAGATAGAATAGAACTGGCCAGTCTAAGTATTTTATGACTATAATAAATCTTACATTTACATTAAGGTTATCTCAAGAGGTAATAATTTTAGTAAATACTGTTTTTACATAAAGTATCAGTATGATCTGTATTGTTAAAGATCAAAATAGTTGTGGCTTATGCTGTTACTTATTTAAAAAAATGGCAAGGCATGTTACACTGTAAGGTGAGCTATGTTATATGTAAATTAGGATAAGGTATGTAATTGAGTAAAATCATGTTTTAAATAAGTTAGGTTAGGGTATATTAAGGAGTGAGTTTGGTTCAAGTTTTTTTTTCTGGTTATTTTATAAATAACATTTTTTAAATATCTCTCCGAGGCAGATCAAGAAACTATTGTTATGTTCTTCATCCTTATGACTCCAAAATACTTACTTTAATGAACAAAGTCCCTGCATTGAAAAACAAGCTGCAAACATAAATGTTACAGGGTAATTTAAAGTAGAGCAAATTGTGAAGTAAGTTTAGGTTTGTCATAAGGTATATTAACCTGAAGTATGTTAGGAGTAATGTAGGATGATGTCATTGGGTTAAGTTAGGCTAATGGTTTAATTATTTTTATTATTATAGTATATAATAGATATTTAATCTGTAATTCAAAATCCATTTAAATATGCCATATTAAACATATTATAAATACATCTATTTATTGAAAATTAGGTAGCGGTTCATGAACAAAGTTTTTCCAGGTATATTTATTTTAGGCACTAAGATTGAAAATATTATTGTTGTATTTTTCAGGTAATTCTGTACAGTTTGAAATTTTCTCCATCCAGATTAGAACTTTTGAATATTTTTGAAAATCCTGATGATCAGGTTTGGTATTTAAATAACTTTTTTTTTTTAAGCATATAAAATAATTTGTATAAAAATATTTAAAACAGAGTGAAATACTTGTATTCTTATAACACTGAACCTGATTTTATTAAAGCAGTGTGGAAGTTAAATAAATAATTCACTCTTAGGTTGGTGCATATTTTGGTGCAACTGTTTGTGCAATTGATTTCAATAATGATGGGTGAGTAGTTCTTTGCCATTTTATATTTTACAATTGAAATGAGTTTTTTTACTTTAAAATGTTAAAATTTACAAAAAATGTAAATTTTTAGGTTTTTTACATTATTATTATACTAGCTGACTAGACCTATAAAAGTACAGATCTTTGTACCTAACCGGCCATTTCTTTTCTTATTTCTTATTTAGTTCAATATTTTTTAGTCAACAGTAGAAAAACAATCTATTAAAAAAAAATTCTTCAAGAGTAAAATAAATTAACCTGCACACCTATTCTGCATACATAGAGCTTATAAGAGATTTATAAAATGGTTTGTTTTTCTCTTACATGCATAACTTTGATAGCTCAGTATTTAGTGCAATGTCATCAGTATGATTTTGCGAGGGTTCAAATCTGCCCCTTAACACAATACATTTAAAATTTTTTTGTATCTTATCATATATACTTATAGCAAAAAAATAAATATAGCAAAAAGACTTATTCTTAAAATAAAGTTTTAAGGTTTTTACTAAGCACAGATTTTTTTTTTTTTTTCGCCTCCACAGTAGCGCCCATAACTTTTTTTTAGATCATCTGCTACTTATTAGGACTAATGAACTGTATGCATTAATAACAAAAGTATCTCTATTATGACATATGTGTAATAAATTTTTCCAGGTGTTTTGATATTTTTAGAAATTTTAAATTTTTTTAAAAATTCTCTCCCTTTTGCTTGTAATAGTATATAATATCTTTATATATGTTATGTATATAATATCTATAGGACTTTAAAAATGTTTTTTTTTGTATTTTAAAAAATCCAAAAAGATTAAAAAAAAAAAGTGCAAGCATTAGGATTTTAACCACTGGAATGCACTTCAGATATGCTGCGAGCTAACCACTTTGGCTATTGTGTATTGTAACCACTTTGGCCAAAGTGTATTATACGACAAATGTTTTAATAGTAATTAATAAACAAAAGACTTAAATTGACAATTAAATACTATAAATCAAAATTGAGGAGATAATGCCGCAATGCAATTTTAAAGTAAAAGTTAAACTGTACAACTTGATTAATGTTTTTGTTCACATTTTTTATAAAAAAAGTGCTGCAACTCTTTCTTGCGATTGCCATAGTTGCAATGGCTGTCAAGATTTCCATGTCAAACACACTCAAAAGGGCACTGCTGCTACTACTACTACTACTACTACTACTACTACTACTACTACTACTACTACTACTACTACTACTACTACTACTACTACTACTACTACTACTACTACTACTACTACTACTACTACTACTACTACTACTACTACTACTATTAAGTTCAGCATTAATATAATGTGATTTTAGTTTATTATTATTATAAGATTAGAAATAAGCATTATAAATTTAATTATTAAATTTATAATATAGAATTTGTTATAGTTATTATTTATATTTATTGTTTTTTTAAAATTGTTTAATTATTGTTAAATTTTAAAATTCCTTATGGTTAGATTTGTTGTGTTTACTATTTATATATTTGTTTTTCTTATATATATACAACCCTTGGAATTAGGGTCAGCATTCGGCAATATATACACACTTACATATTACATATTTATATACAATTACAAATTTTAATTGTATTTAATTGCATAACTTTCTGTGATTAATTGCAATTAATCGCAGAAATACGAAAAGTTCAATAGTGAAATCGGAAGTAGTGTTTTGTGTAAATTTATTCTTTCATAGTTCTGCTGTATGAACAATAGTGTAGTAACATTTTGTTTGTCAAAACTTTAAATAATTGTATCTATTCTTCCAACTTTAGATTTACTTACTCATCTGCACCAATACAATTACTAAGACAAACAAGGTCGTTCATATTTTAAGATAATAAAGAAACTCTTCTTTTGTACAATATGACCAGCAAGAGTAAACAACCTTTCGCAAAGTACAGATTTTGGACGTTTTGCTAAGTACTTTTCTGCAATTGAGGTCAGCCTGCTGTGTGAGTATGCATGTTTGAACCATAACTGTAATGGACAGGCTACTGAACTGATGGTGGGCTCTGCTCTGTATTGATGCACACTGTTCTCAATAGTCTTCCTTGTGTTTAGAATCAGATTCTGATAAAACTATCAATAGAGCAAACTTTCTCTTTGATAGCTTTAATATTGTTGCTTTCTCTTTGATAGCTTTAATATTGTTTGCGACGCAGGGGGCGCGTTCAAAAGACAGATATCTTGCAGCAGCGAATATATTTCTTTCACTATCTATGCTAAGTGTGCTGACTTTATTTGAATATATCCCATATTTTATTCAAGTTGCTGTGCAACTTGAGTACAATATTGTGCGACATCATGCAACATCAATCCAAGTCTTGCGTTGTTTAATGTAGCACATCAAATTGGAGTGCAAGAAAGCTGCACCAGATTTTAAAGTGCTAAAATGGTGCTAACACAGATTGTCATATTTTATGGAAAAGCTAATATTCCAATTATTAGTGAAATTAAACCATACCAGAAGCTTTTAAAACTATTAAATGATAATGTAAAACTAAAAGCCATTCCAATCAAATGCAGTTTGTCTGCAGGGTGCATTGCAAAATTTCAACAAATGGAAGAAACACTGTCTAAGACATTTGCACTCTGACCCAGTAATGTTGAACAACACATGAAGAACACTGAAGATATCCATTTTCTAGACTCCATGAAAACTGATTGTGTAGCAACATTCAGTTCTCATGATAAATTTCTGTCCTTCAAAATAGAATGTTGCAAAAAAAAGAATGAAGTTGCAGGACATACAATGTTAAAGAAGTATTGCGTCAAATAAAATAAATACTTTTGTGTTTATTTTATCTGCTAACATTGCAGTTGCAATGTTAGAAGATAGTGACAGCAATGACAGTAACATTCTTTCAATACCCAAATCAACTGTTCATCTGCTTTGTCTGGAAAAACTTCAAGAAGTTTTTCCAGACGAAGTCATCATCATTCAGCCCAGACTGGTACACCAGCATTCATTCCTTATGACATTTTACAAAAGCCAAAACTCGTTTCTGTTGCAACAAGACTGAAGATGGTTCCTTCACAACAAGCACATAGACTGCTGTGATTATTGAAGAGGAAACTCATCCAAGGTCTCTGCATTATATTCAAACATTGATAAATGTTGTCATCTAGACCATTGCTACCAACTTCAGAGATCAGTGGGTTGTCCAAAGCTGCTCACACTACACTGGGACTCTAAGTTACTCTCTTCATTATCAAAACAAAAACATTTCCAAAGAGTGATTTACAGTAGAAGTTGGAAATGCAAATGAGCTCAAACCTCATGGCGTTCCTGCATATCACTAGGCACAGATTGAAACACAAGTGATACAATTGTAGCAGGCTTAACATTTGAACTGTTCTCTTCATGGACATTTTGTGATTCAGTGGTAAACATGACATTTGATACAGCATCAAACGCAGGATATGTGACAGCAGCATGTCACATATCAAGCAGTAACTAGGTAAAGCTTTCCTGATTTTGTAAATACTTTGAGCTTCTAGGTTTACACAGATCAGCAACTCTACACTCATCAGTATCTGTAACTTTAGAAATTGCAAAACAATTATCTCGCTATGACAGAACTGATTTCAATGAAATAGCTAAAGATTTTGTCGAAACAGTGTTCTTAAACTCTCACACAGCACTCGAAGCTTGATGAGCTCTGCATAGTTTTTCTTGATGGTGAAGAGGCAGGAGAGACTTTTAAATAGGTTACATTTAAGTGACCTGGGGCATCTCACTAAGCCAGTTGGATGGTAAATTTAATCTATGTCATCAAAATTTGTCTCTTTAAACTGCTGATCCAAGAACTTCCAAGAGGATTAATTACAAAAAACCAGCAGACTTAAAAAATCTACTACTTTGTTAATTTTGTAACACTTGTCTATAGTTCATAGTGGATGTCTTACACATCTGTGAAAGGCGCACCATGACACAACCTGAAGGTTTACCAGACAATGCTGTCATATGCAGCTGTTAATCACAGAGTACAATTTGTGCCTTTGAGCTTCACCTATGGTACTTAACAACAAAGGTGATTCAGAGCAAGAGGTACACTACTCTGTGGAGTAGTGTACCTCTTGCTCTGTAGAGTATTAATGTGCCAGCAGATAAACGTTGAGAGGGGAATTAAACTCAATGCAGAATTTCTGGCTTCTTTAAAAGGAGAAGAACACTGTCAGAATGTTCTGTAAGTGGTTGAGCAAGATGGCTGTTCTAAGCAGGATAAACAAATAAATATACAAAAACAAAAGAAATGACTTGAATTTAGCTTTAAATTGAGCAATGTTAGTGTTAAAGTGAGTAATCTAAACTTCTGTTTCATCTTCTAGAAAGTTGTATTGCTTGTGTTATGAAACTAATAAAGCTATAAAGATATTGCAATTGGCATAAAACTAAAAATAATAAAGTTAAAATGGTAAAAATTCAAATCTGGTGGACCCTCTAAATTCTTCTGAATCTTTGTCATAAATCATTTTTTATTATAAAAAATAAAAAAAATAGAAGTGGTTTAAGCATATTTTTAAAAATCATGGGGTATTTAATGCGCCCTAATATATATATATATATATATACATATATATATATATATATATATATATATATATATATATATATATATATATATATATATATATATATATATATATATATATATATATATATATATATATATATATATATAAATATATATATATATATATATATATATATATATATATACATATATATATATATATATATATATATATATATATATATATATATATATATATATATATATATATATATATACATATATATATATATATATATATATATATATATATATATATATATATATATATATATATATATATATATATATATATATATATATATATATACATATATATATTTAGTTTAAATCATCAAAAAGATTGTGTATAAACTTTTTTTAAATATTGGGATCATCATTAGGTATAAAAAAACAAAAAAAAACATTAACAAATAACATAAAACAATCTGTTAAAAGTATAAAAATCAATGAAATATTATAATGGCAATGTTTTGAAGATTGTAAGTTTAATATTTTTGAGTGTTATTAAATATTTATAGTTTATTTACTTATATAGTTTTTGTTTGTTATTATTTTTCAAGAATTTGATTATTTGTTTACGTATGCGATTATTTAGAAAAGATGAACTGCTTGTTGGTTCACCTTATTATTCTACTTTTGCTGATGAAGGAAGAGTTTACATTTACACTAACAATAAAATTTTTGTAAGTTGTTCAATGAATAATTTTTTTTTTTAATTATTATTTGTTTTTGTAATAAAGCTGTTTTAATAAGTATATATATATATATATATATATATATATATATATATATATATATATATATATATATATATATATATATATATATATATATATATATATATATATATATATGTATATATATATATATATGTATATATATATATATATATGTATATATATATATATGATGTAGTTATGATGTATATATATCATATATATATATATATATATATATATATATATATATATATATATATATATATATATATATATATATATATATATATATATATATATATATATATATATGGTGTAGTTATGATGTAGTTGATCTTTCATTCAAAGAGTGTTCAAAAAAAAAAATTTGATGGCATATTACAAGAAAATAGTACCAAAAAGGTAGCTTGATGGAGAAATCAAAGCAATTGGACAAGCTAAAAATTTGCTTAAATTAATTATGAAAAAAAATTAGGGCCTTTTTGATGACGATGAAACTTACTGTAATAATAATCACTTGATGTTACCAGGTAATCAATACTATTATCAGTCAAAAGTTAGAAAGCTTCTGATAAATTTAAGTACATTTAAATTGAAAAATTGGTCCTCAAGTTCCTTGATTTTAAAAGCTCTCTTTTCATTACAAATCAATCTTAAAATTAAAATAGGGGGAAGAGGGGGTTCTTTACAAAAAATTAAATTGCACGTCATAAAGTTAAGTCTTAATTTATTTTTGTTGAAATAAAAACTAATTATGTAAGCATCATTATAAAAAAAAATCATTACAATTGATTAAGTGGTTTTTTGAGAAAACTCAATTTAAAGTCATCCAAATTTCAACCAATCATTGTGATATATATATATTCTTGTCATGTTTATTTATTTATATTTTCAATAGTATTTATATTTTATATATGTATATATATATATATATATATATATATATATATATATATATATATATATATATATATATATATATATATATATATATATATATATATATACATATATATATATATATATATATATATATATATATATATATATATATATATATATATATATATATATATATATATATATATATATATATTTATATATATATATATATATATATATATATATATATATATATATATATATATATATATATATATATATATATATATATATATATATATATATATATATATACATAAGTGGTATAAACGTATATATCCACAATAAAAAAGCTATAAAGTTTTTGTTAAAGTCAATGGTCAATGTATTATAGGATGCATTTTTTGACTTCTGCTAAAAGTTTAAGTAAAATATAAAGTTATAAAACCGTATACAATTAGTGCAAATAAGTTTAAAAAAAAATGTTAAATAACAAATAAATACATGAAATGAAGTATAAGTCATAAATCATGAAATTAAAAGTTACAAAAGTAATACTATTTAATTTAACGAAAGTTCACAGATTTGTTTGTCATTTTATTTAACACAGCAAATTTCATTTAAGTGAAGAAATTTAAAAGATAGTGAATTTTTATTTCTCCAATAATGTTAAATCAATAATTTTTTAAATACCAAATAATTATACCTAAATAACAGGATTTTAATTTTAAAAAAATGTTAAAAAAATAAATAATGAAAATATAAATAAAAAATATTGATAAAAATGATTTAAAATCTATAAAACTTAAGATTAAAACATTAAATGTTTTACCATTAAAAACATTGTTTAAACAAAGTTAAACAATTCCTACCTTCATCTTTTTTATTACTTTGTTATCCATTTTTCCTCCCTATAATCAATTAAAAGCTAATGTTGAATTTGCTTACAAAATTTTTACAGGTACGAAGCAAAACAACTCATTACCAAGTGATTTAACCTTGCAAATCTTGATAATAATCACAAATTTTTAAACATCACTCTAATAAAACAAAAAACTCTAATAAAAATTACTTCTATAAATATGATGAACATGAGTTTGACTTGAAACTTAAGTAAAGTATGTTAATAGAAATAGAAATCCCTGGTACAAACAAACAAGCAAACCATTTCAAAAATTTCTTTTACTGATTATTATAATTATAATTACATAGTTAATTTAATAATTATTAATTACAGTGTTAAATGCAGTAGTGGTGTGGCGGCAGAGCTCTTGCTTCATAAGCGAGAAGTTCAGAAATCAATCCCCATCCCTTGTAGTGCCTTGCTCAACAAGTTTCTCCGCACAGCAGCCTTGTTCATCAAGGTTTTTGTTTTGGAGTTAACGCTTTGAGAGAGGGTTGTAACCACGAGGGTTGTAACCACAAGAAATACTTGACTGTAATGACACCCTATGCCTTAGGAGGTGACAGAAAAAAAAACAAGTTTCACTTATTTATTTTTTAAAATTTTTTGAACTTTTTGATTGATTTCATAATGTATTTATATGTATAATTAATCTTTAGAAAGGTTTGGATCTTCTAGACGAATATTTGAACCCTGATGTAAGAGCTTATGCTTTATTTGGTTCCACAATTACTAAAATTGGTGATCTTAACAATGATGGATACAATGGTAATAGTTTGTTTAATTGCTTATTTTGAATGTTATTTATTTGAATATAATTAGATTTTTTTTGTATATAGATGTTGCTATTGGAGCACCTGGTGGTGGGCCTGATGGCAAAGGAGCGGTATATATATACAATGGTGGTGTCACTGGTATTCGATCTACATACAGCCAGGTAAAATGTAGCTTCATAGACTGTTATAGAGGAATTTACATCTTCTTTTATTAAATAAGTTGTTAATTTCTTAGCTTTAAGGAAGTAACAATGTTAGAAAAAAGATGTTATTTAACGTGTTTAACACATTTTATTTTAATTTTTAGTTTCAACATAGGGAGATTCCATGTGAAAACATCCAATTTTTTTTGAAAATGCAACCCTAAGTCTCAGATTTTGCTGATTTTTACACCACTCAAAGATTTTAATAAATTATGAACATTCCCAAAATTTTATCATCTAATTCCAAACGGTTCCAAAGATATGACTATTCAAACTTTGCCTTGAACCAACAAAATTCCGCCATTTTAAAAAATGGTTTTGGTCTTTGTTTCTGTTCTGTATACAATGGAAAGCTGAAAATATGTATGCTAACATATTTTGAGGCAAGGAGTCCAATAAAACAACTTAAAATTTTTAAAAATAAACAGAACACCTGTAATTTTGACCTTAATCGCAATTTTACTGGGGCGAGTTTAATTACAAAAATGCTGATGTAGCTTGATTTTTCTTTTTTTTCTTTTTTTTTTAGATGTCATCCTGAATAGTTTAGTTAGAGTTGTTACAAAGAATTGGAAAGTGGTCTTTTCTTAATGGAAAAAAATCTTTTCTTAATGGAATGGAAAAAAAACACGGTCAAATTTACTTAAATTTGTTACATATAAAACAGGAATTATGAAAAATCAATGGAAAAAAAAGGTTGAACTCTTATGTGCCTTATGCACAGAAGTTGGTATTTAATAATTTTCTGGAAATTTTTCCACTTACCCTGAGCTTATTATGACCCCCTCCCTTCTCCTCCTCCCCACTTTCCCTCTTTTATTAAACTTTTTATTCTTCTCCTCCCCCTCTCTCCCCCACCTTCCCACGTTTATTAAACGATATTAATATGAACAAAAAAACTGTACCTCAAATCTAAAAAAAAAAATTTCAGGTATTCTTTTTTAAACTTTAAGACTGGTTTAGGTCTTAAAAATTAGACAATATACTTATAGGGAAAAAAGTCTCCACTCACCTTTTTGTTAAGACTACCTTTCTCTCCTCCCCGCCCTTCCGTCTTTCCCATCTCCCCCCATTTATTTAATATAGATAAAAATTCCCATGTATTAAGCATCTGATAGTAACTTGACAGTTATGAAACTGAAACAGCTTTGACCATATCGAATTGTTCCTTTAATAGTTGCTGACTTGCTTTTTCTGTTTTCTAGGTAATTTTATAAAATTGATCTTTAATTTCAAAAATTTATTATTATTTTACTGGGGATGAATTCAATTATGAAAATGCAGATGTAATTTTTTTTTTTCAAAAGTTGTCTTGAATAATTTAGTAAGAGTTAGATTTTCAAAAGTAAAAAAAATTATCAAATATATAATCATAATCTTAATTATTATTTAAATTATTTAAAAATTATAATCTTTATTATTTTTTAATTATTAAAAAATTTAATAAAATATTTAAAAACATTTTTATTTAATGTTTTTAAATATTTTATTACTATACTAAACAAGTTTTGACTTAATTTTAATGAATAATAAATAATTATTTTTTGATTGACAAGTGACCAACAATTGATTGAGACAATTATTGGTAAATTTTTAATAAATCAATATTTAATAAAGTTGTTTACCATCACCTATTGCCACATTATACGTGCCACAACATGCTTTATATGATGAGCATTTATTATTTTATTTAATTTGGCATTTAATAGTTTATAAAAATGCGTCTAAAAGGTAATTCATTGTCAGAATGTAATAATCAGTAGAATATCATAGCAGATATAACTCTGTTTGTTTACCTGAAAATAATTTAATTTATTTTTATCTACCTGTTTTTTTACCTGAAAATAATTTAAAAAAATAGTTCTCACAACAATAGGTAAGGAACTTCCAATTAGGCAACATAGTGCAATAGTGCTATTTCAGAAGGTGATTTTTATAATTTTGCGGTATAATTTTCAGAATTGTGGAGGAATTTGTAAATAAAGGAAGAGAAATGATAACAAAACATACTGGTCACTTGCACTCTTAAGCATAACAATGTATGTAATGTAGCAGAGAATACCTTAAAAAAAGGGGGGGGGGGAGAAGAATAAAAAATTTAATAAAAGAGGGAAAGTGGGGAGGAGGAGGAAGGAGGGGGTCATAATAAGCTCAGGGTAAGTGGAAAAATTTCCAGAAAATTATTAAATACCAACTTCTGTGCATAAGGCCCATAAGAGTTCAACCTTTTTTTTCCTTTGATTTTTTATAATTCCTGTTTTATATGTAACAAATTTAAGTAAATTTGACCGTGTTTTTTTTCCATTTTAAGAAAAGACCACTTTCCAATTCTTTGTAAAAACTCTAACTAAACTATTCAGGATGACATCTAAAAAAAAAAGAAAAAAAAAAAAATCGAGCTACATCGGCATTTTTGTAATTAAACTCGCCCCAGTAAAATTGCGATAAAGGTCAATATTACAGGTGTTCTGTTTATTTTTAAAAATTTTAAGTTGTTTTATTGGACTCCTTGCCTCAAAATATGTTAGCATACATATTTTCAGCTTTCCATTGTATACAGAACAGAAACAAAGACCAAAACCATTTTTTAAAATGGCGGATTTTTGTTGGTTCAAGGCAAAGTTTGAATAGTCATATCTTTGGAACCGTTTGGAATTAGATAATAAAATTTCGGGAATGTTCATAACTTATTAAAATTTTTGAGTGGTGTAAAAATCAGCAAAATCTGAGACTTAGGGTTGCATGCCCTGGATGTTTTCACATGGAATCTCCCCATAGTTCATTTTGACTTTTTTAATGGGTTGTTTGTTACTTTAGGTTATATACGCATCTGATTTTCTCTCCAGTTTTGAAACTGGTTTTGGTTCATCTATATCTAAAGGTGTAGATGTTGATGGTAACAAATATCCAGGTTAATAATTTTTTTTTGACTTTTTTTTTTTGTATGTTTTAAAGTTAAATATGAATTAGATAGAAAAAAAACACAGTTTATTTTGAATAAAATTTAGTTGTAGCATTTATAATGACATTACCATAATTTATATAGGAGATTCATCCAAGATTCAATGCAGAATATCACAGTCAAGTTTTTTTTTTACTGCATTCACAGCAGAATATCGCAGTCAAGTTATTTTTTGCTGCATTCACTGCAGAATATCACAATCAAGTTTTTTTTTACTGCATTTACAGCAGAATACCACAGTCAAGTTTTTTTTACTGCATATGCAGCAGAATACCATAGTCGATTTTTTTTTACTGCATATGCAGCAGAATACCACTGTCAATTTTTTTTTACTGCATATGCAGCAGAATACCACAGTCAGGTTTTTTTTACTGCATATGCAGCAGAATACCACAGTCAAGTTTTTTTTACTGCATATGCAGCAGAATACCACAGTCAAGTTTTTTTTTAAGGATTTTGATAAGATTTAAAATCTTTTCTTTTAATGTTAATACAATTTTTTTTTCTGAGGCGCTTGTTTTTTTTTTTTTATGTGTTCGAAATCTTTATGGGTTATTCCATGTCAAATGAACATACACATGTCAGTCTGTGTTTTTGACTTGTAGTTTTCTTGTGTATTAAAAGGTTTATGAAAATTTTAAAAATCTAAAAGTTAAGTTCTTGAGGTAATAATTTTTTCTAGTTTACACCAAATCAGCATTTTTTGCAACTAGTGCATTAAGTATTGTTTATATTATTGAAACTTTTTTTAAGTACTGAAATAGGTATAAAGTTTTTTTTAAAAAGTAATTATAATTCAATAAAAAAAACTATACATTTTGAATAAAACACTAATAATGAATATTATATGTCTAATGGATAATCTAAGGGATAATGTAATGGATAGATTTATATAACTTTATTTTCCAGAAGCCATAACTTTATTTTCCATGTTTTAAAAAGTATTTGTGAGTTATAAAGAAATATTAAGAGTTCAACACTCCTGCACGAGTTGACGAAAGTTCTATGTAATTTTATTTTCTGCATGATATAGAAAATCAACTTGCTAAGTGTAAGAAATGCAAAAAAGAGATAAAATCACATTGTGGCAATCACCAGTGGACTCATTTCACCAGTTGACACTTCTAGGAACAAACCATAAAATTGACTTGCTATAGCTATGTTTTCATTGGTCCATTACCATCAGCCAAAAAACTTATACTTTTGATCACCAATTTTTTTCAAAACTAACACTACAAGTCATTGCCTGAAGTTTTTTTAAATTGACTACCCTTATGCTTATTTGTCGTATTAGCTGAAATAAGAATTGCTAGAAGCTTTTAGGTTTGTTTTTCAGAAATCTGTTATGACAATTTGAAATATGGTAGTCAAATATGCAAACACAATCAGAGAGACATATCTAAGTTTACTCATCTCCAATCGCAAGAAATCTGGTCCAGTTAATCATTCAATGAGCGGACATCAATTAAAAATTGTAGTTGTTAATAAGTTCCAGAGCATTTCAGGAGTTTTTACTGTCTTCTGAAAAAAGCATTGATTTAATTAAAAAGACATTTTAGTGCATTACTACTAATTAAGCTTTGGTAATGTAGAGTTTGTTTAAGCAACTTTGATTATCAGTTTTGCATTGTGCATGTCATTCAACTGGGTGTATCTTTTGTACAAAAAAACTTCAACTTCTGCTAAAAAAAGGTTGAAAAAAATCTGAAATGACAACATAGTAAAAGTGATGACAACGATAACTGAGATAAAAAACACTGACAATGGTGCAAATATAATGATGAATATATTTTTTTGGTGGGTTTTGATTTTTGATGAGTGAGGAGGATGACCCTAATGAACTGGCTGATAATTTATAGCCATTGTTAACTAAGGTTCATTCCATTGTGAAATTGTTTTATTTTTTTAACACAAAAAATGTGTCAAAAATACACAAATTGGGTAAAGTCCCTTTACTAGTGCTTTTTACGCATTAACTTGTGTTTGTCAACTTGAAAATTGAAACCCACAAGTGGTTAGTTATCCTTGCGTCTAAAATTAAGATAACTGATAAGGAGTTTGACAAAACCTTAGCTGTTGTAACATGACTTGCCAGTGACTTTTGCCATGGATTCAGCTGTTGAATTGAAGCTTTGTTGGTGCAATGATTAATTGAGCGACAAACAACTTTTTCTATATTACTGTACTATATGCACAAGGGCCATCAATGATAGGAGAATATGAATTCAACGCTGCTTTTTGAGTACCTTATCAAATCAGCTATTGTAATGCCATAGTTTAAATGAATGGGTAGCTCAATCAGATAGCATAAGATCCACTCCCTTCTGCCAGTGTTTAATCTGATAGAGATTTTGTTAATACATTGCAAACTTCTCATTGAAAAAAAAGTCACGGTAAAGCATGGCAATTTTGAATAATTAAAAATTTAAAAATAAGGGAAGATTAATTTTTTAAAAAAATATATTGAAAAACATATCAAATGGGTTTCAGTTTTCAAAGAATGAGGAACTCTTGGAATATATTTTCAAAACTCTTAGAAATACTTGTAAACTGTAAAGCCATCAAGTGTCAAATGGGAACAAAGATTTTTAACAAATGGTAACATTGTCACCAAATTAAGATGATCTTTTGAGAATGACACTTTGAATGCACTTTGTGTCTTATATATACCAAGAAAACTCATTTTAGTCAGAATTTCAAGTCTTTAAAATATAGGCCCATTTTTTGATACAGTTTACAGACTTTATAATTCAAGTGTGTTTAATTCCAAGTGTATATGGCATCATTAAGAATTTCGATAAGAAATCTAGAAAATCTATTTGTATTTTTTTTTATTCAAAATTACTTTACAGTTTGTTTATTTATTTTATTTTCTAGTTTTTTCAAAATTTACAGTAAAAATATGAATAAAAATATTTCTACATTGACATCATTATTATACTGAAACTCTTTAAAATTAAACGCACTTGAATAAACTATAAAGTCTGTAGATTGCATTGAAAAAAGCTATTTAAAGGTATCAAAGTCTTTAAAATATATCAGAAGATTTTAAAGACTCAAAGTTTTGACTAAAATGGTTTTCTTTGTTTATTATTTTGTTTTAATCAAATAAAATTACCCCAAACATTTTTATTTTGGTACTCTCTTTAATATGAATACAACTCATCTTATCACTTGGGGATTTTTTAAAGATATTTTGACATTAAATACCAATATTTTACAAATGGATATTTAATCAGGTATTAATTAAATCTGTCATTTTCAAATCTGTATTAATTTAATCTCTTAGCTGTATTTTTAAACCTGTAATTTGGTTATGCCATATTTAATTTATATTCAATAAAGATATATAATCAAAATTTTGGTTCTTTTAGGCACCAATTATGAATGTCTTTTTTAAGTACATTTTTATTATGTAAATGTTATTTAAATGCTGACATTTATAATTTATAATTTATAACAAAGTCTAAATTTATAAATTAATGCTAATTTTGTAGACTAGGGATAGGAGTATTTTTTTAAGTTCTACTGATTTAATTTAATAATAAAATATAAAAATTCATTTATTTTCTCTTAATGTAGATATTGCAATTGGAGCTTACAATAGTGGCAAAGTTTTTTTTTTCAGGTAATTTAAAAGTATTTCAAATCTTAACTTTTGAGGTTTAAAAAAATTAGCAGTTTATCAAAAATTAATGATAAATAATAATATATATTTTTTTTAATTTAAACTTTTCAAAATTCAACATAAAAAAAATTCAACGTAAAAGTCTGAGTTATCCAGGGTCCCAGTTATCCCAGTTAACGGGATTATACTGTATATATATATATATATATATATATATATATATATATATATATATATATATATATATATATATATATATATATATATATATATATATATACATATATATATATATATACATATATATATATACATATACATATATATACATATATATATATATATATATATATATATATATATATATATATATATATATATATATATATATATATATATATATATATATATATATATATATATGTATATATATATATGTATATATATATATATATATATATATATATATATATATATATATATATATATATATATATATATATATATATATATATATATGTAATATATATATATATATATATAATATATATATTATATGTATTTATATTTATATATATTTATATTTATATTGATTTTTGAATTGAAAAAGCTAACATTAAAAAATGCAAATAATTTGCAGTACAGCTACATCATCAGTAAATCTTAAATTCTTTTATTTTTAAATTCTTAGTTAGAATTTTTTCTTTTGTTCAAATTTCTCAGTTTTATATCAAATGCAACTTTGAAGTGTATAGATAAATTGTTGCAAACAAAGTATCACATGGTTTAATCCCCTTCACAAGAAAAACATTTCAGCTTTTCTTTTGCTTTTTTTTTTATTTTTAATAAAAAAAAAAGCAAAAAAAACAAAAACAAATAATAAATATTTTTTGTACACTTTTTTTTGGGTGTCCATACCACTGTAATGATACTAACACATGTCTAGGTTCATTACAATTTGCCATATTAGTTTTGAACCGATGTAAGATTTTTCTGTATGATTAGCGTTAGTTGATGTATAAGTAGCTTTTTAAACAACAAATTAACTTAAATATTGATTTTCTAATGAACATGTATTTTTATTGAAACTGTTGCTGATTATAACAGTGGTTTACAAAATTTGTTGAATGTGCAAGCTGATAATAATTTTCATATTTAGCATTTATCTATAATTATTTTTATTAAAATATTTTTTTTATGATAGGGGGATTAAACTATGATACTTTTTTCACATCTGTTTATCTATACAGTTCAAAGTTGCATTTGATATAAAACTGAGAAATTTGAATAAAAAGAAAAATTCCAAAATATAAGAATCTAATATTTATTGATGATGTAGCTGTACTTCAAGTTAATTTCATTTTTTAATGTTAACTCTTTTCCCCCAAAATAGGTCATTGACCTGTGTTAATAAATAATTAAATAACAGATTTGGCAAGCAAATCCATTAACCAAAACTGATTAATTTTATTTATAGCATTTATATTTTATTTATATATTAGCTGTTATAAATAATTTTTTAATCTTAAATATCAAAATGAAAGGAAATTATTTTGCTGTTAGCTGTCACCCTCAACAACAAAGGTGTGGTTGCCAAATAAACTATTCTGGGAAATACAAAGACAAAAACCGTTGTTTTTGTGAAAAATGCACAAATGTTTATTTGCAAAAACTAATATAAAAAGATTATACTAAATTTGATTTTATGGTGAAATTCTGAAAAAAATATTTTAATATTAACGGGTCACAACTAAAATTTTGCCCAACTTTTAAAACAAGATATCTCAGTCATTTTACAATTTTTTTTAAAACGGTTTTTTGCATTTTATAAACAACAATTTTAAGTGTTAGAAAAAATGTCTTTTAAAGTTTTTCGATTCCATTCCTTCTGACAAAATCGAGTCTTTTGTGTATCGAGCTGAAGGTGCAGTGTATAAGGTCTTTGTCCAAATTACGAAGGCAAAGACTGACTCTAGCTTTGAGTTGAGTGATAGTTTTAGCCTGCCAGTTCTTCTCATACACTTTCTGCTTCAAAAATCCCCAAAGATCCTCAATTGGCCTGACTTTAGGGACGTTTGCTGGGTTGTCTTGTTTTTGTACAAAATTGACTTTTTTGTCTCTGAGATCGGCGTGGACTGAGTTTGCATAGTGGGAGCTAGCTAAATCGAGCCAGAATACGTATTTACCATCCCTATAGTATTTGTTAATAAAAGGAATCAACCTCTTTTGTATACACAAGTCACGGTAAATATATTGATTGATTGCCATGGCAGACTTGAAAAATTTGACACTACTCATTCCTCGATGTGAAACTGCCACCCAAACAAGTAGTTTTGACTTGTATTTTGCCTTCATTTTGTTCTTCACATCAGTAGGAGTCTTGAATATCATCTGAGTAAAATCGGTCATTCCCAGTCAAAGTTGTGTTGGAAAGAGTGAAGTACAATTAATCATTCAAAATAAAATCGACATCACGAAATTTGAGGAAAGGTCGTCCACACTTTGGCCTTGCTAACTTGACTTGTAAGGCTGTCATCTTTGGTTTGACGGTGCGTTTTAGACATCTGATATTTTTTCTTTGCAATAGCATCTTTGAAACGTATTGCTGAGTCGTTTTTAGCTTCCTAGCTACTCTTTTCTGTGAGCAGCCCTTCCAATGATTGAAGAAATTTTTCATCTTACATATGTTGTTTGCAGTCGCTATAGTGGTCGGAGGACCGCTTCCTTTTTTCCTAGTTAGTACTTTATTTTGTTCCAGCATGCTAAGCCAATGATTTAAAGTCCTTTTTGGAGCTCCCATGCTGATAAATTTATCAAAAATATGTTTTCGCCCCAGTCCATGGTTTTTTTGATAGTATTTATACAAAATGGATTTTAGATCTTCATACATTATAGCGTGATATTTTTTGAACTACAAATCTTACGAACTATTTAAAAATATATTTGAATAGAGAATGCTTTTGAGTATATTCTGTTAAAATTTTAAAAATATACACAAAGCAGATCTTTATTGACATTATCCCAAAGTTTGGGCAAAATTTTAGTTGTGACCCGTTATATGATCTATACTTTCTTATCTTTCTAAAAGTTAATATGATGTCAATATGATGCCTTTAACTTTTTTTTATCTTTCTAGTGTCAATATGATGCCATCTATCATTATTCTATCATTTTCAGTATAGTACAATGATTTTTACATTATACAAATATTAAATTTAGTTGCAAAAGTATTGGAAAGTGAAATGATTTTTTTTACAAGAACAAATTTTTAATAAATTTTTAAGTTGACTAATTACTTTATTGCATCAATGTTAGTTTTTATACTTATATAGGTTGTTTTCTATATTTATATAAGTTGTTTTTTATACTTATATAAGTTGTTGTTTATAATTATCTGAGTTGCTTTTATTATTATTGGTTGTTGTTTATATTAATATTGGTTGTTATTTATATTCATAAACTGTTGGTTGTTTTTATATAGTTTTTTTTAAATATATATTTAGGTTGTTGTTTGTATTTAATAGTTTTTTGTATACATTTATTTTACTATACACAGTATTCATCAACTAACCAACTAAAAGAAATTCAAAATGTTTACAATTTCATAAGGATACAGTTAATAAAATGAACTTATAACTTTATCATTTCATATTATTACAACTTGTTTCGCGCATAAATGAGCATGACAAAACATGAGGTATGGTGGGGTTTGAAACATATATATTTATATTTATGGTTTAAATTTTTGTTTAAATGTTTCTCGTTTTATTGAAGCATCAGTGTAATGTTTGAAATAGCAAATTTTTTTTAAAGCAAATTTATTTATAAACTATTGTACTTTTAATAAATTTGGTAAGAAACAAAATTTCTGTTGAAAAACATACTAATAACTGAAATTTAAATTTTGTATGGTTTCATCATTTCTAAATAAAATTTTAAGCTCATTGTTCACAAATTTTAAGTCCATTGTTCACAAATTTTAAGCTCATTGTTCACAAATTACTTAACTTTTAGTTAAATAGTGCACATCTATCTGCTTCTTTAAAATATCAAATCCACGAATAATCAAATCATTGCAGTGCGGATACGTTGAATCTGAGGTTTTGTTTAAAGAAAATAAATTTTGTTTAAATAGTTTAAATAGAAAGTGAACAAGGATAGTATTTCCTGGATGTAAGTTTTTAGTTGTTTTTATAGATTCTTCTATGATAAATTTTATAAAAGATAATTTTATTTTTTTAAGTAATTATTTATGACTAATAATTTATTATATAAGATGGAAAAAAGTTGACAAAAAAATAATCAATATAATGTAAAAAAACTGCAAATCTAAAAGGAAATCAAATGAAAAGTTGTGTTTTTAGATTTTTATTGTAACAGATTTAACATTTACCTTTTTCTAATAAAATTAGTTTTGTCAAGCTGTAAACCAATATCCTAGCAAACATTTCGCCAAAACAAATACCCAAATTCTGGTATTTGTTTTAGTGAAATGTTTGCCAAAACATTGGTTTGATTATTGAACTAGTACAGGGATGGCCAAATAGTGGCTCGCAAGCCGCATGCGGCTCTTAGAATGTCATTGCTGCTCGCGAGCTGATGCGGCTCTTTTCAAAAGTTTTATTGATTTAATAATAATAAAATTTTGAATTATACATTGTCGGAAGATATATTGTTTGAAAAATGGATATAGCAAAAGGTGACAATAATGCACTTCACAACAAAAGTAAGAAAAAAAAAAAAACGAGAACATATTATTTCACGATGATTGGACAGAAAAATGCGCATTTATTGAAAAAGAAAATAAACCTATGTGTTTAATTTGCAATACTGAACTTGCTCATAATATTATTATGAGCAAGTTGAGTATTGCAAATTAAACACAGGTTTATTTTATAGGTTTATTATTAATAAGACATGCAATGTTAAACGTCACTTTGAAACAAAACGTGTTTTTCTGAAAAATCTATATTAAATTCATGTCATAGAAAAAATAAAATAGAGTTGCTTTAAGCAACATATAAAAATCAACAAATGGATATTTCATGGTCCAGCAAAGAATCAAATATTACAACAGAAGCAAGTTTTGTTATAGCTTAGAATGTTGCAAGAAGTAAACATTCTTACACCGATGGAGAGTTTGTTAAATAAAATCTTTTAGATGTGATCTCAGTTTTAGATTAGTTTTAGCAAAATTCTAAGGTTAATTTCAAATATTTCTGTTTCTCGACATACAACTGAAAGAAGAATATATGAGATTAATGTCTAAGATAAACAGCAATTGTTAAATGACTTAAAAAATTGTGAAGCATTCAGTTTATCATTGGGTGAATCAACAGATATTCAAGATAGACCTCAAATGACAGTATTTGTTATATATGTAACATCAGATGTACTTGTGAAAAAAGAGTTGCTGGATTCAGTAGAGCTAAAAGATACAACTAATGGAATTGATATAAAGACAGTTCTGGTAAAAGTCAATACTCCTAAAAACAAGCTTGTTAGTGTTGCTACAGATGGTGCAATAGCAATGGTTGGAAAACATGTTGGGCTTATTGGTTTACTAAAAAGTGATGTTACGTATCCAGAGTTTATCCCGATTCATTGTGTGATTCATCGAGAATATTTAGCAGCAAAACATTTTAATTTTTCAATTGTTTTAAATCTGGAGATTATAAATTATATTAGATCTAATGCAAAAAATCACTGATAGTTTAAAAATTTCATTTGTGAATTGGATCTTGCTGACAAACCAAGTGACTTGTGCTGTAAGGTGGCTTTCAAGTAGTGATGTTCTTTATAGGTTTGTAGAACTATTAGAACAAATGTTTTTTGCTTGAAAAGCTAAAGACATTTGAAATCCTTGATGATGTGAATTTTTTGCAAGATCTTTTATTTTTAACTGATGCAATCCAACATTTACAAAATCTGAATTTGTCACTTCAGGGAAAAGAAATATCTAATTTTGCTCAGACTATTTTTAGTTTTTTAAAAAAAAATTGCGCAATTTCAGATCAATCTGACCTTAAAAACTTTTAATCATTTTCCTCAAAATGAAGGTGATTCATAATCCTAATTCTACGATTCAGTATGATGATCATAAGAACGAATCATGTCAGGAAAAACTACAGAATTTACTTGAAGGCTTTCAAAATAGATTTAAAAATTTCTATGCTCATAAATCATCATTAGCATTTTTAGTAAATCCTTTTTTAATTGATATTATTAGTGATGGTTGTTCAGTTCCAGGAAACATACTTAAAGAAACATGTCAATTTGAAATGGAATTATTAGATCTCCAAGAAGATCAAAATCTTTAAATGCTGCATAAAACAATAACTTTATTGGATTTTTGGAAAATAGTTCCTGGAGTTAAGTATCATCAACTAAAAAGGATAAAACTAAAAAAATATAAAACTCATTTAATTTTTGGTTCAACATACATGTGAATCTTTATTTTGAACTATGAAATTTGTTAAATCAAAGTATCATGCCAACCTAACTAGTGAACATTTGTCAGAGTTGTTTAGAACATCAACTACAACCTTGAAACCAGATTTTTAAAAACATACCAGTAATGTTCAAAATCTTAGTGCCTAATAAATGTATAATAAATTAAGCAAGTTATTATGCAAGAAGAATTTTCTAATGGTCTTTTAAAATGAAAATTTATTTTTTAAAAGTTATTTGATGAAAATTATTTTTTAATTTTAAAAATAAAAGTAATTTGAAATTAATTGGAGTTTATTAAAAAAAAATGTTTCTTTGTAATGTTTTTTTTTTCTTTTCTTTTTTTGTTGCAGTTTTTAGTAACTTATGCTAATAAGTAGTTATAGTTAATTATTATAATAACTATATTTATTTGAATTGAACTAGTTTAATTCAAATAAAAGCAAATTTAATTCAAATACATTAAAAACCTTTTTAATGTTTAAAAATTTTAAAAACCATTTAAAAAACTTTTTTTTAAAGAAACCTTTTTATCTTTAAATTTTTATATCTTGCTCCTAATTAATTTTGTTAGAAAAATTATGGTTATTGTAATTGTGTTAATTAAAAAAAATAAATAAATAACAAAAATGGTACACATAACAAAAAAGATACACATAACAAAAAAAGATTTAACCACATATGGCATACTAAAAAACTTTGGATGACAAAAATTGCCAAATCTTATTAGTTATTAGTTTTTATAATTTTTTGTTGCCTTTTTATCTTTTACTACATTAATAATTAAACTAATGTTCCCATAACTAATAACACAACTTTTTCCTTACTCTGTTTGTGTTATACTAGAATATAAATAAACAGGCTTAGACTCACATAGACAGAGATTCTTTTTACAGCAAATCTGTTGTTTTTTTTAATAATTTGCTTGATCAGAAAATTATCAAAATAGTTTGCAATATGATAAAACATCAAATGGTTTTAATTGTATAAAATATCATAAGCTTTAATAAAATTTTTGCAAGTCTCTTCTGTACTTATAAGATCCTAATCAAAATCAACTTCATTGTTGCTTTTCTCAAACTCAATTTCAGTTTTCATTTTCAGAAACATTATTTAATACTTATACAGTGCTTAGTACAGATTTTATATAAATATTATTATTGCTATTGTTATTGTTGTTTTCTATTATTTGTTGTATATAATACATATAATTAAAAAAAAAATAATTATATATAATTTTATACTATGTTTTTTTCCAAATTGTTAACAATAATATCAAACTTATAAATTTAAATGATGAACTTTCAATGATATTCAGCATTCATCCTGACTCCAGTATCCAGTATATATTTCAGAATAAATGTCATTATATGACATTTATTCTGACTAAGTATTCATTATAACTCAGTATTCATCTTGTATTAGGAAAAGTCACAGAAACTTTTGAATTTTTTATTTATTTTTAAATTAAAACTAACAAAGTTTCAAACTAAAAACAGTTTTTAAATGAACTACTTATAAGTTTATTACACATAAACTAAAAATGTCTTTTGAGTTCTATGTATTTTTTTTTTAGATCTAAACCTGTCATAACTATAACTGACAAACTTATGACTAATGTTACACAGGTGCCAACAGATCTGGAAAGCTCTAATTGCTTGGGACCTAATCTTGAAAAATATTACTGGTAAGATTTTATATTTTTTCAATACTAAGAAAAAATGTTATTCAGAAATTACATCATCATTTAATTTTTTCGAGCCCTATATATATATAAATATATATATATATATATATATATATATATATATATATATATATATATATATATATATAATATATATATATATATATATATATATATATATATATATATATATATATATATATATATATATATATATGTATATATACATATATTTATAAATGTATATATATACATATATGTATAAATATATATGCAAAAATGTTCATATATATATATATATTTGTATATGTGTATAAATATATATGCATACATATATACATATATGTAAGTATGTATATGAATATATATATATATATATATATATATATATATACATATAGAGAGAGAGATATAGATATAGATATAGATATAGATATAGATATAGATATAGATATATATATATATATATATATATATATACATATACATATATATATATATATATATATATATATATATATATATATATATATATATATATATACATATATATATATATATATATATATATATATATATATATATATATATATATATATATATATATATGTATATGTATATATATATATATATATATATATATATATATATATATATATATATATATCTATATCTATATCTATATCTATATCTATATCTCTCTCTCTCTATATGTATATATATATATATATATATATAT